AGGTTCCAAGTTCAGGTTGGATACCTTAACATACACCCCTGGAAATCAGTCCTAGTGGGCTGTGAAATCTCTGCCAGTCACTGCTGCCTGAGAAAATGAAACAGCATTCACATGCCACAGTCAAGGACACATTCTTCTAAGATTTTTTTTTTGTTGGAGGAAGAAAAGTTTGAAGTATGCAGCTTTTGCACAGGCCATAACTGCTGTTGTCAGTGCAGGTGCCAACCTTATTTACATAAATCAGTGCAATAAACTACTGCTGATGGTGTGAGAATTTAGAAATTACTCACAAAAGGACACCTAACCCTGACTTATGCAGCAGAATAACCAAACCAATATTTTACACTTTATATTGCACATTCAGATTTTTTTTCAGCAATTCTGAACAACCCAGAAAGAATCTGCAGCAACTGTGCATCCTGAACACTGCCAAAAATCTGCACCTCGAAACTGAAAGTAGAGTGACCCATGGTTTCAGTCTGCAGGGCAGAAGAGCATGTAGAACTAAATTAAGAATTTTTTTTGTTGTTGTTGACAATATAAAATAGTATTAAAATGCTGTGAAAATTCTACTGGACCAATTTTTCAAAAAGTAAATTTTAATTTCATTAGGGGAGAGAATAATAATAAATGTGTTTGTGACAGCACTTGGTGTATTGTATTCCAAACAGGAAGTAAGTAATTCAATACACAGAAAATAAAATAAAGGAAGGCAGATCCCTCTGGGTGATTTAACAAGTAAGCTACAGATCATCTGATCAGGAAAAAACCCATATAGATTATAATCTATTTCTATTATACATATACTAGATTATTTATGTAAATTACCTATTAATGCATTTTTCTGGTATATCAGGAAGGATTTATATTTCCAACTATTTTTTTCCTAAAGTCTACTTGCTTGTGATTATTTTCCTTATGCAAAATGATTAATAATCATTCCATAGAAATGCTCATTTCAATAAAAAGAATGGAGAGATCCTTGAGGGAAAAACTGAGCAAATTTAGGACAATGCAAAGGATGGAGTGTTTCAGGATTTAACATTCCAACAGCCTAATGGTTGCCAAAAGTTTTGGAGACATTTCTCCTGCCCTAGAGCCAACACTAGTCTTCTCATTGTTGCCACCCTATTCTTCGTGCCTGTCTATAACCATCTGGTTTTCCTCGTCTCATGTTTAAATCATAATCTTTTTGTGACAGCAGATTCCTCTGCCTAGTGCAGAGGAATTGTGGCCCCTGAGCTCGTAAGCCCCAAGGTAGTGCAAACAAGGGATGACATTGGTAATAATCCAGTGCATGATACTTGTCTGTCACAAAGCATAAACTTGAATTTCTCCTGCATGCTCACAAAAGATAGTATAAAAAAAAGGGAGAGGAAAGAGCTGGCTACAGCTTGAAGTCAAGCAGAATTTAGGGCAGTAGAGAAAAAGAAGGAAAGCTTCCTCCTCTCCTCCATCCCACCTTTCCCGCTGTCTCAACTCTGTTGCAGTTTTACCTGTATTGTGTGAATTAACCTCAGGAAGAGCTTTCTGACTCAACCTACTTATCTAATCATGTGCAACACTTTTTGCTTCTTACAAATTCATGTGGCTTCCTTAGACAGCCTCAATGAGCTGAGCTGTATTTCAGAAAACCCCTCAATCCTTCTCCTATTGTTTAGAATGTGATGTATTTTTTCATTACTGAGACAATGGAGCTATGCACATGAGCAGAGAGCTTTCAAGGAGAAATTATTTGCTGTTAATAAGGTCACAGCTACATCTCCTGACAGGCATTGCTGAGTCTTTAAAAACAAGAAAAAAACCCATATGTTTTCTTAGCCTTTGTGTCATAAGCCTCAGAGTGATCACAAATTGAGGTGAGAGAGTCACCCCACTACTGAATGGGAATAGGCAGAAGCTCCATTTATCACCAAAGTCTTATTTGTGCTATTACAGAAGGGATGGCAGAGGTATGTGCAGGCTCTGTCCCTGCCAGCCAGGGTCAGCTGAAAAGCTCAGATCTCTCCTTAGAGCTCAAGAGATAATCAGTAGATCTTTGGCCAAGTCACAAGCTCATTACACGCAGACCTCATTCTTTGGGGAGAGATCTTAGCTTTCCTTCCTTCACAGAGACATCTCATGTAACCAAATGCCTTAAGCTGATATTGATTTCTCTCTTCTCATCCTTTTATTGATTGCCTAGAGGAGCACATGATCACTCTGGAAAGGAGGCATAATTCTCATTTTACAGACTGAAAACAGAGGCAGAAAAAAAAGGTCAGTGGTAACTAAGAGGAGTCTGTCTTTCCATAAATCTAACACTTGGAGCAGGCTAAGATCTTCCAGTCAGCCCAGCTCACCAGCTCAGCCTGAGAGCATTTCCAAGTGATTCCAAAAATGGGGCTGATAAGTGTCCAAACTTAGTAGCAGAAATAGTGAAATGATAAACCCTCTGAACCACATGTCCCACTGCCTCAAATGCACCATGTCACAGAGTGGGTTATGACAAAGAGTGCTGCTTGTGAAATGTGCACTTAACATTACATTGCACAGTGTACAGGGTAGTATGGGGAAAGAAAAGACATTTCACAAGAAAGGTGAGATGTTGCTGTACTTCAAATTAGCACTATTTCATACTTTCTGTTAGTCTCCTTTTTCTGACTAGTGGGGGGACCTTGAATATTCTAGTGGGTGCAGGATCAGTGACGCAAACAAATTGCTTTAATAAAAACAGAGCACATTTTTCTACAGAAATGTCAGGGTTTAACATTTTGAGTGCCTGGAAGCTGCTGCATTTTGGCAGTACCCTTAAGAGAAGTCCGATCAGGAAAGAAATTTGACGAGCTTGTGAGGAAAGGAAATAGTTTAGTTTACTACAAACAGAAACAATGTACTGTTTCTGCTCCATTCTTTCCAATACATAATCAGGGTCACTCACAACATGAAACAGAGACCAATAATTATGTTATCCAGTTGTGCTTCCCTTGGGTAACTAGAGAATAATGTGCTCATTGTCATCCAACAGAGAATGAGGCTTCTTGTTTCTCTACAGATACCATCTTCCTCATTCAAGAGATTTATCATTATTAATTGTCATCTGATTGCATTTGTACTCTTACAAAACCACATGGAATTTATCTTTTGAAAGACATAAGGGAGCTTCTCTAAAGCACCGTGTAGAATAACAGGCTTTTAGATCTTCATGGTTTTATTCTCTTTCATTTGAAGCACAATCTCAGACTTCATAGTACGAAGATGTGTCACAGATTTTCCTGGCTCCATTTTTTAGACAAGCCAAACTGGAAACATTTATAGGATGTGACTCATTTTTTCCTTTTATAATATACTTTTCTACTTTTTGGCCATTTTGTACTAGTATGGGACTGCCAGGATCCTTGCTAATGGCTGTGTGGTTTAGTCCCTGTGGCTTACTTCCCACAGTGAAGAAAGACCTACCATTAAGCATCTCACCACCACGGGCTCTTTGTCACACAACCCACATCTCCGCTTGGTCATCTTTTATAACTTGCAGCTCCATTGCTCCTGAGTAACTCCTGCAACATCATGATCTTTCTTTCCTTGGGAGCCTCCGGAAATGTCCCTCCAAAACATAGCCTAATAGATGTCAAAGTTTATTCATAAAAGGCTTCTCCTCAGTCTAGGAAATTATCAGGCATGGTACTGATGTGAAGAGCTTGGCTTGTGTTCTGTTGTGTGCTTAAACAGAATATCTGGCAAGTTGCACAAACAAATCTAAAGTGAGTGGCTAAAAAAGTTGACTAAATGCCAACAGGAAGAGCAAAAGCTTGGGGAGTTCCTGATGATCTCACTCTGGAAACATGAACCCAGGCTGCAGGGGATCTATAACAACTGATACCTCGGGGTTTAAAGACAGCAACATGTGAAGCAACATTATGTTACCTGGAATACAGTTCACAAGAGGGGTCTTACCGATACTTGTAGCAATTATTTAGTGTGAAGCAAAGGAAGAGTTAATAATAGTAATAACCATGAGGTTCTGTGGGAATATTTTTCTTGGCAAGGCCAAGTAGAACCAGTTATTTTCCTTATCTGTAAATACTTTCTCAGAGTGTATCAAATGAGAAAGTCACTGGCTAGGGGCAGGGAGGGGATTCAATGACTCAGCAGAAGACTATGTTTGTTCTGCCACAAAGGCCTTTCATTCTGATCTGTCTGAGCGCCAGCTTTGCTAACTGGACAATTACTTCTTTCTAGATCACAAAACCCATGGAGTTAATTACACAGGGGACTAGTAGAGATGACATGAAATCAATTTACATGTAATAATTATTTGTTGCTTACCTTCCCTGAAGCAATTCAGATGTTATAAGAAGATAAAAAGCTCCTTTTACACCTTGATCTTAAAAAGACTACTGAGTTTAAGCTGTTTTTTAAGGCAATAATCAAACTTTGCCCCTTCCTCTTGTGCCATCAAAATATTTAATATCCAGTGTCTTCTTACTATGATCCTATTTATGTTATGGTCAGCTAACCAGAATGATCCTGCAAATCAGTAGAAGTCAGAACAGTGGTGCTTGGGGGGGAACCACAATCTTAACTCACCTCAACGTTTTAGTTCTTAAAAAGGTGTGAGGTGAACTGAAAGGAAATGGAAACTGAGGATAGATTGAAAGGAGGCATCTTTAGTGCACCACCAACCTCTGACTACAGAAGAATGAGAATTCTCAGATATTGCATTATTTCCCCCAAAAGACAGACCTTTGGGTGCTGCTAAGCCTTCAGTCACCCAAGAAATGCCTGTGCCTTCAGAGAGGCAGGAAAAGAATAGCAAAGCATAAAAGGAATCAGTTCAAAACCAGACTGGAATGCAGGGATCCCATAAGCCTAGTATTTAACTTAGTTCACTCAATTTTCACAAAATCAGAAACATTCTTCCACTTCTAGCACCCCTAGTGAGGCAGATCACAACTGCTTCTCACTAAAAGAAATTACTTACCAGCAAATTCTTGGGATTATGAGTCTGATAATATGCTTACCTAAGGTCTCCCTGAAAGATGCTTTCCATCCCCTGTCTGCTCCATAGAAGTCAGTGCTAAACACCAGGAACAAGTTATTACTGGAGCTCTTAATATTGGGAGGCAGTTCTGAGCCACAGAATTTCCCGAGGAGAGGAGCATGGGTATCTGAGCCATCATATACTGCCACATAATCTTTGTAGCAGGAGGGAGATATTTCAAGCTGGAAGCTGTTGAATCTGCAAAACACAACTGGAGCTTTAGGTATCACATTTTCATTTCTATTCCTNTCCAAGATACCAAAGAGATCTGTTTCAACACTGCAAATGCTTTCTAAATTTAGTCAGATTTCAAGCTGATGCATATTTTTATATTTGAGCCCCAACATATATTCTGAGCTTGTCACAGATGTTTTTATTTTCATGGACTATAATGAGATCAAGAAAAGATATTATTAGCCACAATTTATTCATTATTTCAATAGATTAAACTAATCATAGTTCATCCATGACAATGTAATGAAATGTGTAATACTGACGTGTAATATATTTGGCAAAAATTGTGTGAACCAAAAGCCCAAAGAAATTTCTGCCAGAAGACTTGTGAGATTCAGACAATTTGCTTCTCAGCTAAACCCTCTGCAGCATCAGGTTCCAAGTTCAGGTTGGATACCTTAACATACACCCCTGGAAATCAGTCCTAGTGGGCTGTGAAATCTCTGCCAGTCACTGCTGCCTGAGAAAATGAAACAGCATTCACATGCCACAGTCAAGGACACATTCTTCTAAGATTTTTTTTTTGTTGGAGGAAGAAAAGTTTGAAGTATGCAGCTTTCCCACAGGCCATAACTGCTGTTGTCAGTGCAGGTGCCAACCTTATTTACATAAATCAGTGCAATGAACTACTGCTGATGGTGTGAGAATTTAGAAATTACTCACAAAAGGACACCTAACCCTGACTTATGCAGCAGAATAACCAAACCAATATTTTACACTTTATATTGCACATTCAGATTTTTTTTCAGCAATTCTGAACAACCCAGAAAGAATCTGCAGCAACTGTGCATCCTGAACACTGCCAAAAATCTGCACCTCGAAACTGAAAGTAGAGTGACCCATGGTTTCAGTCTGCAGGGCAGAAGAGCATGTAGAACTAAATTAAGAATTTTTTTTGTTGTTGTTGACAATATAAAATAGTATTAAAATGCTGTGAAAATTCTACTGGACCAATTTTTCAAAAAGTAAATTTTAATTTCATTAGGGGAGAGAATAATAATAAATGTGTTTGTGACAGCACTTGGTGTATTGTATTCCAAACAGGAAGTAAGTAATTCAATACACAGAAAATAAAATAAAGGAAGGCAGATCCCTCTGGGTGATTTAACAAGTAAGCTACAGATCATCTGATCAGGAAAAAACCCATATAGATTATAATCTATTTCTATTATACATATACTAGATTATTTATGTAAATTACCTATTAATGCATTTTTCTGGTATATCAGGAAGGATTTATATTTCCAACTATTTTTTTCCTAAAGTCTACTTGCTTGTGATTATTTTCCTTATGCAAAATGATTAATAATCATTCCATAGAAATGCTCATTTCAATAAAAAGAATGGAGAGATCCTTGAGGGAAAAACTGAGCAAATTTAGGACAATGCAAAGGATGGAGTGTTTCAGGATTTAACATTCCAACAGCCTAATGGTTGCCAAAAGTTTTGGAGACATTTCTCCTGCCCTAGAGCCAACACTAGTCTTCTCATTGTTGCCACCCTATTCTTCGTGCCTGTCTATAACCATCTGGTTTTCCTCGTCTCATGTTTAAATCATAATCTTTTTGTGACAGCAGATTCCTCTGCCTAGTGCAGAGGAATTGTGGCCCCTGAGCTCGTAAGCCCCAAGGTAGTGCAAACAAGGGATGACATTGGTATTAATCCAGTGCATGATACTTGTCTGTCACAAAGCATAAACTTGAATTTCTCCTGCATGCTCACAAAAGATAGTATAAAAAAAAGGGAGAGGAAAGAGCTGGCTACAGCTTGAAGTCAAGCAGAATTTAGGGCAGTAGAGAAAAAGAAGGAAAGCTTCCTCCTCTCCTCCATCCCACCTTTCCCGCTGTCCCAACTCTGTTGCAGTTTTACCTGTATTGTGTGAATTAACCTCAGGAAGAGCTTTCTGACTCAACCTACTTATCTAATCATGTGCAACACTTTTTGCTTCTTACAAATTCATGTGGCTTCCTTAGACAGCCTCAATGAGCTGAGCTGTATTTCAGAAAACCCCTCAATCCTTCTCCTATTGTTTAGAATGTGATGTATTTTTTCATTACTGAGACAATGGAGCTATGCACATGAGCAGAGAGCTTTCAAGGAGAAATTATTTGCTGTTAATAAGGTCACAGCTACATCTCCTGACAGGCATTGCTGAGTCTTTAAAAACAAGAAAAAAACCCATATGTTTTCTTAGCCTTTGTGTCATAAGCCTCAGAGTGATCACAAATTGAGGTGAGAGAGTCACCCCACTACTGAATGGGAATAGGCAGAAGCTCCATTTATCACCAAAGTCTTATTTGTGCTATTACAGAAGGGATGGCAGAGGTATGTGCAGGCTCTGTCCCTGCCAGCCAGGGTCAGCTGAAAAGCTCAGATCTCTCCTTAGAGCTCAAGAGATAATCAGTAGATCTTTGGCCAAGTCACAAGCTCATTACACGCAGACCTCATTCTTTGGGGAGAGATCTTAGCTTTCCTTCCTTCACAGAGACATCTCATGTAACCAAATGCCTTAAGCTGATATTGATTTCTCTCTTCTCATCCTTTTATTGATTGCCTAGAGGAGCACATGATCACTCTGGAAAGGAGGCATAATTCTCATTTTACAGACTGAAAACAGAGGCAGAAAAAAAAGGTCAGTGGTAACTAAGAGGAGTCTGTCTTTCCATAAATCTAACACTTGGAGCAGGCTAAGATCTTCCAGTCAGCCCAGCTCACCAGCTCAGCCTGAGAGCATTTCCAAGTGATTCCAAAAATGGGGCTGATAAGTGTCCAAACTTAGTAGCAGAAATAGTGAAATGATAAACCCTCTGAACCACATGTCCCACTGCCTCAAATGCACCATGTCACAGAGTGGGTTATGACAAAGAGTGCTGCTTGTGAAATGTGCACTTAACATTACATTGCACAGTGTACAGGGTAGTATGGGGAAAGAAAAGACATTTCACAAGAAAGGTGAGATGTTGCTGTACTTCAAATTAACACTATTTTATACTTTCTGTTAGTCTCCTTTTTCTGACTAGTGGGGGGACCTTGAATATTCTAGTGGGTGCAGGATCAGTGACGCAAACAAATTGCTTTAATAAAAACAGAGCACATTTTTCTACAGAAATGTCAGGGTTTAACATTTTGAGTGCCTGGAAGCTGCTGCATTTTGGCAGTACCCTTAAGAGAAGTCCGATCAGGAAAGAAATTTGACGAGCTTGTGAGGAAAGGAAATAGTTTAGTTTACTACAAACAGAAACAATGTACTGTTTCTGCTCCATTCTTTCCAATACATAATCAGGGTCACTCACAACATGAAACAGAGACCAATAATTATGTTATCCAGTTGTGCTTCCCTTGGGTAACTAGAGAATAATGTGCTCATTGTCATCCAACAGAGAATGAGGCTTCTTGTTTCTCTACAGATACCATCTTCCTCATTCAAGAGATTTATCATTATTAATTGTCATCTGATTGCATTTGTACTCTTACAAAACCACATGGAATTTATCTTTTGAAAGACATAAGGGAGCTTCTCTAAAGCACCGTGTAGAATAACAGGCTTTTAGATCTTCATGGTTTTATTCTCTTTCATTTGAAGCACAATCTCAGACTTCATAGTACGAAGATGTGTCACAGATTTTCCTGGCTCCATTTTTTAGACAAGCCAAACTGGAAACATTTATAGGATGTGACTCATTTTTTCCTTTTATAATATACTTTTCTACTTTTTGGCCATTTTGTACTAGTATGGGACTGCCAGGATCCTTGCTAATGGCTGTGTGGTTTAGTCCCTGTGGCTTACTTCCCACAGTGAAGAAAGACCTACCATTAAGCATCTCACCACCACGGGCTCTTTGTCACACAACCCACATCTCCGCTTGGTCATCTTTTATAACTTGCAGCTCCATTGCTCCTGAGTAACTCCTGCAACATCATGATCTTTCTTTCCTTGGGAGCCTCCGGAAATGTCCCTCCAAAACATAGCCTAATAGATGTCAAAGTTTATTCATAAAAGGCTTCTCCTCAGTCTAGGAAATTATCAGGCATGGTACTGATGTGAAGAGCTTGGCTTGTGTTCTGTTGTGTGCTTAAACAGAATATCTGGCAAGTTGCACAAACAAATCTAAAGTGAGTGGCTAAAAAAGTTGACTAAATGCCAACAGGAAGAGCAAAAGCTTGGGGAGTTCCTGATGATCTCACTCTGGAAACATGAACCCAGGCTGCAGGGGATCTATAACAACTGATACCTCGGGGTTTAAAGACAGCAACATGTGAAGCAACATTATGTTACCTGGAATACAGTTCACAAGAGGGGTCTTACCGATACTTGTAGCAATTATTTAGTGTGAAGCAAAGGAAGAGTTAATAATAGTAATAACCATGAGGTTCTGTGGGAATATTTTTCTTGGCAAGGCCAAGTAGAACCAGTTATTTTCCTTATCTGTAAATACTTTCTCAGAGTGTATCAAATGAGAAAGTCACTGGCTAGGGGCAGGGAGGGGATTCAATGACTCAGCAGAAGACTATGTTTGTTCTGCCACAAAGGCCTTTCATTCTGATCTGTCTGAGCGCCAGCTTTGCTAACTGGACAATTACTTCTTTCTAGATCACAAAACCCATGGAGTTAATTACACAGGGGACTAGTAGAGATGACATGAAATCAATTTACATGTAATAATTATTTGTTGCTTACCTTCCCTGAAGCAATTCAGATGTTATAAGAAGATAAAAAGCTCCTTTTACACCTTGATCTTAAAAAGACTACTGAGTTTAAGCTGTTTTTTAAGGCAATAATCAAACTTTGCCCCTTCCTCTTGTGCCATCAAAATATTTAATATCCAGTGTCTTCTTACTATGATCCTATTTATGTTATGGTCAGCTAACCAGAATGATCCTGCAAATCAGTAGAAGTCAGAACAGTGGTGCTTGGGGGGGAACCACAATCTTAACTCACCTCAACGTTTTAGTTCTTAAAAAGGTGTGAGGTGAACTGAAAGGAAATGGAAACTGAGGATAGATTGAAAGGAGGCATCTTTAGTGCACCACCAACCTCTGACTACAGAAGAATGAGAATTCTCAGATATTGCATTATTTCCCCCAAAAGACAGACCTTTGGGTGCTGCTAAGCCTTCAGTCACCCAAGAAATGCCTGTGCCTTCAGAGAGGCAGGAAAAGAATAGCAAAGCATAAAAGGAATCAGTTCAAAACCAGACTGGAATGCAGGGATCCCATAAGCCTAGTATTTAACTTAGTTCACTCAATTTTCACAAAATCAGAAACATTCTTCCACTTCTAGCACCCCTAGTGAGGCAGATCACAACTGCTTCTCACTAAAAGAAATTACTTACCAGCAAATTCTTGGGATTATGAGTCTGATAATATGCTTACCTAAGGTCTCCCTGAAAGATGCTTTCCATCCCCTGTCTGCTCCATAGAAGTCAGTGCTAAACACCAGGAACAAGTTATTACCGGAGCTCTTAATATTGGGAGGCAGTTCTGAGCCACAGAATTTCCCGAGGAGAGGAGCATGGGTATCTGAGCCATCATATACTGCCACATAATCTTTGTAGCAGGAGGGAGATATTTCAAGCTGGAAGCTGTTGAATCTGCAAAACACAACTGGAGCTTTAGGTATCACATTTTCATTTCTATTCCTGTGTTACATGTGTTTTTAATGCTTGAGGAAAAATCCAAGTACTAGCAATAGCCAAAGCCATACACAGACAAAACTTATCTCTTCAGAAACAAACAAGCAGAACTATTAGCTGCATGGCAAAACACTTCAGCCAACTAGTCTCAAAGAAATTGCGACCCTCACCCACTGGGCCTCTTGCAAGGCAAGCTGTCAGCACACCTCAGCTGTCTGTGAAGCAGCAGGTCTCCTTTGTACAAGATAAAATGCAGACGCAGAGTGCAGACCAGCTGGGTCTTCTGCTAACGCAGAGTGCAGACCAGCTGGGTCTTCTGCTAACTTGGGAACTGTTCTCTTAATTCACAGTCAGCATATATATGATTGAAGAATGTATTAGTTTTTTTAATTTCTCAGTGGCAAGATTTTGTGGCAACCATATCCCTCTCTTAGGCAAGACAGCATGCACTCAGAAGTATACTCTTTTGGGGTGGGTATTATTACTTTGGCTTTAAAGTGAGTACCAGTCTTGAAAAGAATTACTATTTTTCTTGTATAAACTCACAGGAGTCTCAGAAGTCCTCAAAGACTGACAGAATTTAACTAAAAAGCATGAGCTGCATTTTTACTATTTCTTAGTCCTCTTGGTTATCAAAATGGGAACTTAAAACTGTGGTGATATTTTGCACATAACAAGTTGAAGAGAAAGATGTAAGGGAGCCTGAGGTTGATCAAAGTGACTTCAGTAGCCATTTCTCATTTTAATTAAGCTTTGCCATTGGAAAAGGAAAGACAGAGAAAAAATTGTCAATAATTGCTGTCTCTAATGGGAATCAGAGACTTCCCTGTCACTTAATGACAAGCTGAACTTCGATCACATACTTGAGGACCACTACTTTGCCATTTCCAACTGTGATGTAGTATGAGCAGTTCATGTTGTTGTGATAATCAAGAACTGAATGGGCCGGACTGGAGATAACACCAACAGAGCCACTGAAAATGCCACCACAAGCTGTAGGGGAAACAGAAAAAAAAAGTGATTAGTGTCTGAATACTAGCTTCATCCTAATTCTCATATTTCTTGAAGGTGTTTTCCTGTAAGGGAAAAAAAGCCCTTGATAAATTAGGAGCAGTCTTCAGTGTCATGCCTAGAACTGTAGAATGTGAAGATGTCTATCAGGTTTTGCTCTGCAGTGGAAGACTACTCAGCACTGAAGTAACAGGTTGTTAGTACTCCATACCAAATGGCAATGGCTCTGTGTCTGTGCAGTAAAAGACTGAGCCTGATTTCAAGTGTCCTGCAGTAGGACCAGGGAGCAGTGTGATGGGGTGAGTGCCCCATGCAGAAGCATGAGTGAGGTGTGTCTAGAGTAGCTCTTCACCCATTCTAGCTTGCAAAGAGAAACCTGGCTGATATGTGGGCAAAGATATCCCTTCATCCAGGCCCTGGTGGCGTGGAAGCCTCTAAGCAGTCACAATTGGACACACAGCCCTGTCTCTGACTTTTCTGGAATAACTGTATGCAGAACCTCATCGTCTGCCAGCATCTGGCAGGGCTGGGGCATTACTGCAGCATTTGTTCTGCACAGAGAGGCAAAGTCCCCAGGTATCGCTAATCCTGTTTCCCACCTCTCCTTGTGCTGAGACTTGCCAGCAGTGAGGGGTGGCTGAGCTAGAGTATGGAATACTTGCTTTAGTTAAACTTTGCAGCTGTAAATTCAAGGCACTGCTTGGCTTCTCAGAGTTTCATACCATGGATGCAAATGAGGCCAGGATGTGGCTAATGTTTGTTCCCAGCTTCAGTGCTTCAGGGAACAAAAACTATTATAAAACCAACTCTAATCTCCATTGTTAGCCTCAGCCTTTATTTTATAATCTTAACCTTAGCAAAAAAAAAAAAAAGTTTCCCTGCATCCTGTTGATAAATTAGCTCAAAGCCACACACAGTTTTTCATGTTTTAAAGAAGATGCTGTTGCCCAGGCCACCACCTTAACAAAGGCAGTCCCATACAGGGTGGTGTTGGATTCAGAGCCCCTGGCTCCTCAGGCTGGCAGCCTACAGCACTGGCAGATAAAGGACAGGACCTGGGAGGATAAAGAATTAGCATTATTCCACACTAGGAGCAGAGAGCCTTTTTAATTTTTTTTCAGCAAACAATACAACTAGGGGGAAGAGGAATGTTAATTGCCAGGAGCTGCTTTGTATACAACAACAAGCTAATAAGGCTGCAGTCATCTTTCTCAAATGTCAGAAGTCACAAGTCAGATAGCAGCAACTGACTTGAGTGAGTTATGAAGGTCTTTTCCATGACTAACTGCACATTGTCATTTCTCAGTGCCATTCCCTCTGTCTTATCTGTATCAGGCCATTCATTTCATATAAAGAATTTAGCCTTGTGCTTTTTGTTGTGGCTTTGAATATGAGAAATGCATTGAGGGAAATACCAAAGTTACAAACTCACACTTTGCAGTTAAAAATTATGCTTTCAAACATAAAAGTAGTCTCTACCAGTTAAATCTAAAAAATATTAAAATTGGTTTTGAAAATAAAATCAATCTTTTGGGATATTTCTGCAGATGTAAATTCTAAAGTCAGTTGGAAACATTTTTTTTGAAATCACATTTGCTCTTTAAAATAGATCTCACGTGACTGACAAAAATAATTATTTTTGGTAAAAATAACTGTCAAAAATTAAAAATATATCTATATCCCAGTTTTTATTTACATTAATACCTGGCACTGCAAGAGGGTCATCAAATGGAGGAATATAGATGTGTCTATTTCAAGATCATGTTCTGCTTCCTGTATGGTGTAATATAGTTTCAGAATAACTGAGAATAAGACCATTCTCCTCTATGTGACAAAATATTTTAAATTAAATAAGTTAAGTAAACTGGTCACATTTCTCCTTAAACAATGTAAAAACAAACAAACAAAATAACCTGCCAAAAATGGTTGCATTCCTTCTCTACAGCAAAGGAAAAGTGCTTCAGTTCCTGACTTGGTCCTATGTAGAGCCTTGAAATGAGAATTGTGTGTGAGGTAACACATAAGTCAGTGTGTTAACATGCACCAAACAGTTCCATGTCCTCATCCTGAGAGCTGTTCCCCCTGGAGAAGGAAAATGAACTATCTACATCCATCTGAGGTATTCCCAAAATGAGGTGGAACACTGAACCATTATCCAGCTGGAATATTTCTACCATATGAAAACACAGGACAGTGTATACTCACCAAGTGTTCTGTATCTTGCCTGGAATCCAAAGCCTACAATGTGGGAGTCTGTGTAGAAGTTGAGCAGCATAGGTCCAAAGACACTGACTGGGGCAGGGAGCTCATTACCACAGAGCGTGATGAGAGGATGCGCGGCCACGCTCATCCCGCTGAAGATGCTCACTCCATCATAAAGACAAGCTCTGCTCAGGAGTGCTGGGGCTGCATGGACATATAATGCACAAGTGTTAGCAGCGTATTTTACATGTAATTTACTGAGATGCAAGTATATAGACCTCACACAGGATAAGAATTAAATTTTCTATTATTTTCCATTTCAGGGAACTCAGGATCTCATTTGCTTGCTGAGGAAGCAAATGTCAGTTTTTAACATGCAATAAAACTGGGGCAGAAAAAGGCAAAGAGACCTTGTATATAAGACATCAGACTTGTCTCATTCAACACATCCTATGATCTGGAAAAAGCTCCAGGCCCCTTGATTTTGTGGGAGCTCATAGTTGAATAAACACTCTCTGTGAGAAGATGAGAGGACCCAATGAAAGCACGGATCTCCTCTGCAGATAAAAGCAACACACCTTTTGTTACAGGCAACTAACTACCTGGTATTTCTTTCCCCTAATGCAGAACTCAGCACTCAATGCAGGGACTATTAAATCATTAAGAGTGAGATTTTTGGAAAATGAAAAAGTAGGCCATGCAGTAGCCTGTTTCACAGCTCACTTCTTTCTCCCTACGTTCCCTCAAACTTTTGAGTACCTAATCCCATGTTCTTTAACTTGATTCAGAAGACAAAAAAAAAAAGTAAATGTAATCTTGCAATGATTTTCAAAAGCAATCTGTTTGAGGGGGGAAATCAGTGCAGATATTAAACTGAGTGAAAAAAAGCACTAAGAAACACAGAAACAGGGGGTTTGGCATTCTATTATTTTTTTCCCAGTGGTTTCAAATTTCTCCTTTGCACTTAGCTTTCTGGAGGAATGAGCCATTCTCTCTGTCTCCCTGCCCTACCTACTGGACTTTCTAGCCACCTGTTTGCAAACAGATTCAACTGAGGCAAGAGGTCTCAAAAATAGTAAGTTCATATGAATTTTGTGAAGGTCAGTAGCTGAATTAGAGTGCCAGAGGAACGTCCTCAAAGAAGGACAAGTTGTGCTTTCAGTGTAAGGGCTGTGAGTTCAGGCAGAGACCTGCTGAACACCAGCCACCAGCACCCTGGGAGCTCAGAGCCATGGCACCACCTCCCTGCCCAGCTGGAAGCTGTAAGCATGGGGAGAAGTTGGTGGTACCCAAGCTGATAGCACCAAGGGATGTATGGTGGGAGCAAGAACAGAGCCACATGAGTTGTGCAAGAAAGCTGGATTAATTATGTCAGTGAAAAACACAGCACACACCTACTGAAAAATGAGTTTCATTAGCTGTTATGCTTAAAAAAGAACTTAATGTTTTCTTTGCCTTTTTCATCATTTACAAACTTAATGGAAGCTGGGATGTCACACGCTTATTGAGAGTAAGTTATCATGTTTAGTGACCTGTTAGCAATAATGGAACAGTTATTTAAACTGCAAAAGCTTAATAGGGAATTATCTAAATTTAATAGGACTGATACTGAGCCTACTGTCTCAGTGGAGTGATTCCTTCATGTTGTCCAGTCAAAACAAGCTTCTTTCTATTGTAGGAAACAGGATGACTCGAATTGAACAGGATGACAAATAGGAATGGAGTGATAATTCTGTTTCATGAGAACAACAGAGTGATCTCAGCAGTCAGGTGTATTTTAGATCCTCTCTGGAGATTTAATTTTAAAAATTCCTTCTGTCTCAGTGAAGACAACAGGCTTTACAATTATGTCAATATGGAAATATGACATGTTGCTTTTCTGACTCTAATAAGAGTAACTAAGCTGAAAACCAGCCACATTAGATAGCTGATTACACTGTTAGTAAAATAATTAACAAAAAATATTCTTCATGTCCTATCCTGTTATTAGAATACTTGATAATGTAATACAATTAAAAAAACATAATAATTTTAAAATGCAAATGAAAAAAGAAATCAGGATGAATGCAATTTCAGAATGGAAAAGATTTAAGAAATCAACTTAGGTAATTTTCTGTGAAGACTTTGGAGAAAGGCATGAAGTGAAATAAATTTCTCAGCAAAGCAAATGTCCATAATACTCATCATGAGTTGATTTGAACTGCTGCACTGGAAAAAATAAGATGGTTGATGTAGGATTGTAAGCAAAATACTTAATTTCTAGCTTTGAATCCTCATTGTTTGGGCCAATATCAGTTATGACTCATAACTGACTGGCAAGACTGATAATTGTTTGATCTCTATCCTGTAGCTCATTCTCATGTTTACACTTTCCTTAATTTCTCACCATATTAAATGCATTATTCCATAAATAATCCTCAGCCTCAGATTCTCCTCATATCATACTTTCAGCCCCTACACATATTCAGTACATCATCAGCAATTCTTCTCTATGGCTTATTTTTGCTAATTATGTAATCTTAGATCTTTTCTAGACCAATTTCCGTCCCTTACACTACAATGGAACAGCTTTCACGAGTCTCCAGAGATGTGTTCTTAGCCAGATGTAAGACCCATATCCTCTTTGAGCTGACAACCACTTTTCACATAACCAGCACTGTTTTTCTTCATAAAACTTTGTCTCCTAAGAGCTTTTGCTCATCCTTCTAGTATTACTATATCTTCTCTTCTGATTCATCCATGAGGATTCAATGAGATAACTTCTTTCTGGTCTTTCTCTCTTTATCTGCACATTAGCTCTGTATAATCTCATTTGCAAGGACAGATGCAACTACTATCTCTGTGCTGATGACCCCATAAGTTTCCAGTTACTATCTTTCAGATAAATGCCTGTCCTTCCACATAGCTATGACTTTCATCTGAGAAACAGTGATTTTTCCAACATGGATACTGTACCATTCAGTCCTCTAGCCTTGACAATATTTCTTCCAAACACTTCTGGAGAGATCATTTATTTGGCCTGACATTTTGAACATATCCCCGTTTCTTTGAATTGCTGCATGCATTTGCTTTCAAGGCCTTTTTTATCTATCTGCACTCCATTTATCATCTCTTGGTACCATTCAGTATGGATACATTGACTCCTGCCTCCAAAGTTCACATGATAAGAGCTTCAGTTGTCCTTACATTACATTTTGAAATATGCCTTTGGGTAGTCTCCTTTCCATTTAGCAGAAATTTCTGTCCAGTCTCATTATTCTTCATAAAATAATTTATTTGATATGATGCCTGCACAAAAACCTTGACCAAATTTGGGCCCCTAACTATCTAATCACTAATATCAATTTCCTCTTTCCATCTCCTTGTCTATAGCCCTAGATTCTGTTTCATTTAGTTTTGAGGTAGAACCTGTCTTTCTGTTTAAAGCTTAGAAAACTTAAAACAGTAAGATTTTGTTTCACAACTCTGGCTGCTGATATAAATGGCAATACAATTAGTAATTACTAAAAGTAGAAGAAGTATTATGCAGAAATATACCCTGTGCAAGGTGTTAACCAGCTTCATAGCACAAGATATTGTTTTGAAAGCAAGGAATTACAAATCTTTCTCATATATATCCTCTTTCAAAATAAGCTATTGCAAAACTTGTCTGTTTTCTGAATTGCCTAGTAACAACTGAGAAAGCAGATAGAGCAGACTCCAAAATAAAGCTGTGACTCTATCCTAGATTGCAAAATTACAGATGCATGTTTAAAAAGAAAAAGAGAAATAAACAAGTTATTAAAACATGTTTCAGGTCAAACATTTTTCAGTATCAACACAAAGCAGTAGTTTTGAAGGCAGAATGTATAAATACTACAGAATTCTAAGCAGATATTGCAGGAAGCCTATGTCCCTTTTCCCTATTTTTCCACTCTTTGGGACTCAGGCTTTATTGGATATTATACTTGAAGAGTATAACAGCCTTTTAATAATACACTCCTATAGCTGTCCTAGAGGTGCATTTGTAGGGATGTTAATCTGAATAAAGCTTATGTACGCAAAACTGTATGTGGTTAAATATTTCTTAGATAATAAGTCTATTAAGGTAGATAAATAAGGGTTTTTTTTACTAATTCTAATGTTTGATTTGTATAGACCTTTGATCCAAGGAGGGAGTACATATGGAAGATGACACTTATCACTGTAACAGATGTAGGGCTGAGAAAACAAACCCACACCTATTTGTTTGGTTCTTCATAAAATAACCAAGCACAACAATGCAGGTGGTACTACAAGAAGCAAGTGGCAACTTACACAATTTCATGAAATTGGAAAATCAAGAGAGTTCTGTGCCTATATTCAGTTTGGCACAGGAAGAGACATTCTTAAGGTTGCAAGGAAATCACAGAGACTAAGCCAAACTCCATTCATCAGGTTAATCTTGCCTACGTTTTCCTTCCTAAATCTCAGGTATCTTGTGTAAGCTATTACCTATGGCTTCCTGTAATAGTCAACGGGTAAAGAGAGTGAGAGAGGCCTCCAGAAGGCAATTCACTCCATCTGCATAACACATTTGGTTCTGAGTTTAGAGTACTTTTACACTTCATTATAGGAGGAGATAAATCTAGATGATTATCTAAATTAGATGTCTATTTTCAGGGGCTCTAAGTGAGATAAAAATTTTTCTACCTACCGGGAAGCAGACAATTTAGATTAAATTTTGATCACAAAATAAACAAATGCAGTTTCCTCCAGTTCTCTATTGCTCTGTTACTTGCTATATTTAGTCCTTAATACATATTTAATATTTAGTACATGTATGTCATGTTCATTTAGTTCCAGATACTGACACTGTATCGTGGCTGTGAGTTAACTGCCTCATTTGGAGTAGTTCTTTACAATCAGAACAGGCGTCCTATCATAACTGAAAATGTAACTACTCTACAGCAGAGATCTGTGACTAACCCATGAAGTCAATTAATTTTGTAGCAGTTTGTCACTGCACTATAGGCAATTACCTTATGCCTTCTAATATTCTGGAAAAGATATCTCAACCAGTTAAAGTCAATGACATATGTATGCCTTACAGGCCTTATTTTAGACACTTCATCTCTTTACTAAAAAACCACGGGGAAAAAAACCAATAAATTTATTTTGAGAGGTCAAATAGGTAGTAAATTATGTTAATTGGACATGTAGCTAAACTTTAAAACCTAATCCAGAACATCTGTATTAACATGGTTTAAATTTTAAAGGCCACACTCAGCAACAATCTAAGCAGGTGCATTGCTTACTTGCACATGGAATAGTTAGAAATGTTTTTAGCAGATGCTGCTGAACGTTGTCCTACCCTTGCAAAAGAACTAAGAGAATTCACACTGGAAACCCTTAGGCACATGTGCTAAATATATTCAGTGAAACTGCTGTAAAAGTTTTCACTTCTACAACGATAGCTTGCAAGGAGGTGGTTTTAATTTTCTTTGCAATTTAAACACAGGCAGTTTTTCTTTACTACAGAGTTGTATTTTAAGACTTTGTGAAAAACATTAGTAATCAACTGCTGGAGGCTGTCATTTGCTAAGCAGATGTCCTTAAGCTCATATCCACAGTTCTTTCACATGACTCAGGACTTTTAGTTGGTGTAGCCTAAGGAACAAATTGCCCTGCAAGAAGTGCAATATTTTTAGTATTTGTTTAGGTGTATGTTTGTTATTGTATCTGTATCACTTACCTCTTTGCTTTAATCTTCTTGATAATAAACACTTGAATCAATTTACAAATTAACCGAAGGAACAGACAGAATACACATCAGTAATGTACTCATAGAGTTGTCAAAGTTGGCACAATCTGATGCAGTCTAATGCTTAGTGTGTCTGATAGATAATGATGTATTCTACGTGAAGAAATTCGCTAATTTCTGTGATTTACATTTCATTAAAAAATTAACTCTTAAAGCAGTGGTTTGTATTAGGGGATGAAAAAAATACTTCAGATGAAATCACAGTCAAATCCAACCTTTGTCTCAGACCTAAATTACATTTGGACCAGAATATTTTTGAATTCAAAATAGTTTGGAAATTTAAAAACCAAAATAAAAGACTATTTTCTGACTTTATTGTTTGGTCTGAAGAAAAATTCAAATCACACAACCCATCTTAGTAACAAATTAGTCAAAAATCTCTTTGTGTAGGTAATTTCAAGAGAACCAGAGGGCCTCAAAATATATGATGTCACCCAAGTAGTTTGGACATATTGATTCCTCTATGTTATCATGGCATCTCCACTCATAAAATTTTGATCCTATCAGAATTGAGAATGTTTCACCACTGTAACCAATGGGATTAGGACATTAAACTTGTTATTGCTTGGCTAAATGCTGCCAGGTTTGATAATTGCAGGAGGGCCTTTTGTCCATGGGTAACAACTTTTATACATTTTCCATTGCTGTAGTCTTTCAGCTAGTTTCACAATTCTGTGTTCTCACATTCTTGTTAAACACCCAAGTATATTTATATCTGTTTTACCGGTTAAGGAACAGAAGCATTGGAAAGCAAAACAGCTGGCCTAAGACCAAAAAGATTGTAAGACTGAATGGTAAAAAAAGGCAGGAACAGAGAGCTGGATTAGCCGTAGTCACTCTTATACTCCAAGAACGTGGCAAATTCCCACCTTCATTGCTGATAAGTATTCAACAGGTGAGATCTATCTTCACTCTTCTAGAAGCCTTCAGTGACCTGAACCCTGGAAACTATAAGTGTTTGTCTGTAAAAGATTTTCAGAATGGACTAGCAAATCAAACCATCTATGATTTTCCACAATAAAAGACTTCTGTGTTTTCAAATAAGAAGATACACTTCATAATACATACTGAAATTATGAAGAACAAGTTACCTTCCAAGTGAAAAGTTTCAAATTCTAGGATCACCAGAGACTGTGGTCCCTGATCTATGATATAGTTGCAGTTCAGGTTGTTATCATACTGACGGGGGTAGTTAGGAGAGACAATACGGCCTTCAGGGCTGGTGAAATTTACTCCGCATCCTGCAAACAAATAAATAAGGCACAGTTATAATCCAGATGGTAACATCATCCTTATTTTACAGTAAGAAAAGAAATAACGTACACAAGGACCTCATCTCTCCTTAGGAGGCTGGTAAAAACCCAGGGAGAGTAATATATATCACAATGGTAAAAGCAGGTCTTACACATATACAGAGCAGTGTTTTTGACAAACATGGGGCAAGGCCCTGTGTCACACTAGAGTGTCACACTCTTAGGTAAGACCAGGCCATAGGTACTCAGCCCACTGACCAGAAGGAAAATGCTGTTCTTATGGGCATGGAGCCTGCACAATTCAAAATCCCTTAGTACATACAAAGGTACCTGAATTGGAAGGAGGGTTATTGGGACACAGCAGCAGTTCAGTCTCTTTTGAAAATGCGACTGACATCCAGGAGGATGCAGTCTGCTCTAGGGCCATCTCTGGGTTGCTTTGCTATATGTAGAGGCAGGAAAGGTTTGCCACCCAGAATTTTTCAGGCACACAGAACTGTTCATTTTCATGGAGCTCCTTCTGTTCCTAATGACTCGCGTGGCCTTTTTTTCTTATTTTCAGTCAAAGCTTTAAAAGAATGCAGTGCACGGTGAAATGCTGGCAGAAGATTAGGAACAGGCATATGAAGCCTGTGACTGTCTCCACTAAGAGGTTGTTAGTTGTTACTGACAACATTAGTGCAAACATTATAAAAACAAAAGCAGTTTCAGTTCAGAATTCTGAATAATTCAATATTGTCTTCATCTAAGCACTTGATTTCTCACTGTTTTAATCTGAATCCTGTGAAGGAAAAGTGGTTTCCTTTGGCAGCATCCTACAAAAAAAACCCCAAACAACCTATGGCAGCTGAGAACTACCTCCTCCACTTTTGGTTGGTTTGACTGTCACAAAGCACATGCCATGCTTAAAGAAATGGACAGGCCAACCCAAGAAATGCCACTTGAGCTACATGAAACGTAAATACAACAAAACAAAGCAAAGGCCAGAGCAAGTTGTGAGGAATTTATGTGAAGGGCATGGGCTACACCGTACACAGGAGAAATTGCCACAGTTTCAGCATGTGCCTTGAAAAGAAGAGAGATAAAAATTCTGACGGAAGAGCAGATCCTTTTTAAGATTACAGCTTTAGTTTCCATGTAGTTTAACTACAGAGAAATACATTTTTTAAATTTAAAGTCCATTCTTTTCTTCTGGGCACAGTGAAAAGACAAAGGTGGCTAAGAATAACTGTAAAGTTAGAGCTTCATGGAGGACTTTTGGCAAGAGCAACACTGGAGCTCCATTGCATTCAGTATGGAAACTCTTGGTTTCCAAATCTGGGCAGAGACTGCAATACCTTGTTGGACCGGGATCTGAACTGCTACACAGAGATCAAACTAATCCCCAAAAGACTAATAGAGCAGCCATCTGGCTTTAATATTACTTACTGCTTATGAAAGATGCAGAGAAACCTGGTGCAGGAGTATCCTGAGACTGAAATACTGTAGTTATCACATTGTTTGGAGCAACAACAGGATCAGGAGCTGACCTTCCACATCCTGTGGCTAACAAAGCTGTTTCTTCTTCATCCTTTCCTCTCCACACCTGACAAGGCCAGATTGGAAATTGTTTAGTGCTTTCAAAGCCCAACTAGGTTATGGAAACCCACCAGAAATTACGTATGCAATTTTTCTTTCCATAGACTTAGGTTAAGATTCATCTCACACTGAATCGAAGAGATCTAAATTGGAGCTAATCCCTGCACTCAGGGGAGTAAATCACAGTGATTAACTTCGGTTGCCAGGGACCTCTGAAGGGCATCTGGAGGTCATTTGCTTGAATCCCTGATGACAGCAGAGCAAACATAGGTCCAGGGGACAAGAGAAAAATATGTTATGTACAATCATTACCTACTTTCATTTTGTCTCTGTTTACTTATCTCCATACACCCTATAAATATGCATAACTATGTATACAAGGAATTATTACATGCAATCCTTATGTTATTCATGAGTAAATAAAACAAAAAACTGTAATGCTAGAATAATATACAGGCATTGAGCTGGGAGATCTGGATTCCTAATATCTAGTCTTGGTAATAAAGAAAGATTGCCATTTTTTTTATTTTGCATTGACTTGTTCAATGACAAGTATCAAATCACATAGTTAAGAAAATAATAAAATTCACAAAAAATATAATGAAGAAAAAACTACAATTTTTTTAAAGTATTACTTCAACTGTACCAACAGCCAATTTAAGTTCAATCAAGCCCTGAATTCAAGAAGCACACGCAGGTTTAGGTAGGTAAGTGAAAGCCTCTTTAGGTATTTACTTAAATATGCACAGTTTAAGCTCACAGTTTAAGTGCTGAATTTCAAGACAAATATAAAATGAAACATAGGTATAAATGTTTGATGTTTCTAACCATTAAAAAAATTTCCTGAATCAAGATGTTTATTGACAAGGATTTAAAAAGTTTGCTTAAATACAAATTATTTACTTTAATAATAAAGTTATTTTTGTTGATATGTTTGCATAGTTTCTTTATTGGTAGTTTATACCAAAAATATATTAAAACCAAATTGTATTTGATATTTAAAATAATACGTTTTAAAGAAATTGAGAGGAACCAGAACAACCACATGAAGCTCTAACCAACCATCCTAGAAAGGAAAGGGTTAGCCAAGGGTTAGTCTGTAAGTGTAGGCATATGAATCACCTCATTCGTGTGACCAGGTGTTTGAGGCAATGAATGCTCAAAGGATTAATTTTAATAGTCTATAGCCTGGCCAAGGTCTTGCAAAGTCACTATTGATTTTGGATTACTCTTTTGTGGCTGCTCAATTTGGATTAAATGGAAGAAACTTACATCTGTTCCACAGTTTTTCATATGCAGACACCTTCATGCATCTCAAACTGGACATTTAGAAATGGAAACGAACATCAAAACTTTCAGATTTTTCTCTCTGGAGGAAATCTCCAGTTGACATAGTTCTGCTTATGCCATTCAGGGCAGTTCAGGAATTTTAAATTAAACACCTTTACTGGTTGACATTAAGACTTCCATATTAGCGAAATTTATTTTAACATATTACATCAATTAATCACTGTCTTTGAAAAGACAAATCTATTAGCTGTAGGGCTTTCTTTCACAACCTTAAAAAATGAGTGCAACTGTGGTTTGTGAGTTAGTAGATATGGATCAGACCATCCTGATCCAGCTGCTCAAGTCTTCCTACATGTTGTCAAATTATGTTTGCCCTTTATTTCAAGTGGGAGTTGTACTTCTGTGGAGAAAATGAGCACAAAACCACTGAACATACGCCAAATGCCTGAGAAAAAAATGACACTGAAAAATTCAAGGCATGTCCACTTCATTCTATTGCTTTGAAAACAAGAGGCTCTTGACAACATATGAAAGATAAGAATACTATCTTTGGTTTGGGAGATTAAAAAAAGAAGGATTAGTGCAACTTGGACAGTTTAAACACTTATAAAGAAGTTTGGTAGAATTACAGTATCACATTCCTTTTTTTCTTTTACTCATTGGAGTAATCTTTTATTTACACTGTATTTTCTCATTATTTCCTTGTTCTGAAATCATATATGCTTTTTTTTTTCGTATTTTTAATTTTTGGGGCAGCAAGGAGGGTGATGGAACCTCAAGAACAGATGAAAATTCAAACTATATACAAGCCAGTTCACAAAACACACAGAAAATGGACTGTATTGGTACAAGGACTTCAGTTTATATTTCATGAATTTTGTGCCTTGACAGTTATAACCATGACAAACACAAAACAGGATTCTGGAATCATGACTTCTTTAAGCACTGCTCTGCTGATCGAACCCTAACAATTATTACCTTCACGTAACTGCTCTGGCAGCTTCCATCGCTATCTGGAATATGGAAGTTACTATGGAAGGTCATCTCCAAGTGTTTGCTTTCGTGTGCAGTGATGGTCCATGTACATCTGGTGTTCATGGGAAAGTTTTGAGGCCAATGAGGGGATTTGATCACACCATTATCAGAATGAATGATTCCACCACAGCCTGCAAAAAACCACCAACAGGTGGGAGAAATGTTCAAATATTTTTTGTTGGTGTCAGCTTTGAATGGCTGTTTCCTTCTGTGCCTGCAAGAGTGAGAGAGGAAAGTCCTGATACCCATTGAAACTTCATTTACCCCTCTTTTAAGTAATTTTCTTTCTCCCACCCCTGCAGTAGGGAGGTAGTTACACTCTAGGGAAGGTCTCTCTTTGTACTTCACTTTATTTTCTTCACAAGCTCGTTCTCCTTGCCAGTTCATACACTTTTGCTTTGGTCCATCTGTACACTCCTGGCAAATTGAAGTGAGTATTGCTTTGAAAGACTGTAAGAACCAGGAACACATTGATGAGGAGCTTCTCCTGAGACTGTGCAGGTTCCTTCCCACAACCTACAGCATGCACATCATGACAGACAGCCATTCAGAAGAGCACTCTAGAGAAAAAAACCCAATCTACTAATGAATGCTTTTTTCTTCTCACTCTGCAACATGAAAATATTGCAGTTCTACATATGAATCTCCTCAAGCTACATCCATTTACCCAGGGCAAAATGGTGACTTCTCCAGTCCAGGCAGCCCTGTGGATCTCAGTGGGATTATGGAGAGGGTTGGAAAACATGACTTTAAAAATTGCTAACAGATTCATTTATAAAGGGGAATAACTGGTTATGGCTCTGTGGCAGCTCATGTTTTTATACGTAGTACGTTTAGCTAATTTGAAACATATTTGCAAATACCATGCCAAGAATAATTTACTAGGGCTATGCGTACAGCACAAGCAACCCTTATTATTTCAGAGACGATGTAGTAAAAGGATGAATAAAGAGCAAAAAAAGGTTTATAACATTCCTTTTTTTCCTCTTAATTAAAAAAAAATAGTTTTAAAAGGAAGATTTTATTTTTCATTCTTCTGTGTCAGTAATGGCACTTGCGTTTAGAAGGATGCAAAGCCAGATTTTGGTCACACATACCAAAAACCAGAGATTCTCAGTGAACAAATGAGAAAAAAGCTAAAGAAAGGAAATCAGGTACATAAAAAAACCCCAAACCCTCTCACAAAGTGAACACTACCTATACATATTGCACATGTAGGCTAATGTCTACTACATCATTGAAGAGTGGTTTTCGTCGCACATGAAATCTCAGTGAGAACAGTGTAAAAATCCTGCTTAAGTGACAGTGTATATCCATGCAAATGCAGACTATTGATATGTTTAAAAAGACACTCCATCACTACTTCTAAAAGACACTGCTACATTATTAAGGGACAGAAAGGTGATCAGCATCAGCCAGAAGGTTTGCAGCTGTAGGTGACAGTAGGGAGCACTTGGCCAGCTCTGTTCTGAGGTAGGAAGGCACAGTGATTTCTGTCCTGTCACTATCTGCCACATCTACACTTGCCTTCAGTCCTCTATTGACTTCTTGAGGTACACTGTGCAAATAGTGAGCCACCTTTTTTTAAAATCGAGAGATCTGATAATCTCAACAGAAGGATGGTAGCTTTGAAAAACGTACCATTCAATCCTGCATGTATATCACCTTCAAAAGGGTACCAACATCTCCACTGCAGTGGAAGAGGTTTAGGCTGTTGAGACATGTGCTCTTTGAGAAGTTCTGTCTGCCTCTCTGTTTTGAAACTGACCTCTTCCTAGTTATAAGTGTTTAAACCAAATCAAACTGTGGAACAATTGTTATTCATAAAATGAAATGTCTCATAGTCACTGACAATAGATACCACTGCCGGGAGGCTAATGGACATGGTATCAATTTACAGCCATCAAGAAGCTGCCAGTATGAAACTTAAAAAGTACAAAATCAGTCTAAGTTTTATTTCCTTGTGTGAGATCAGACAGCAATGGTTTAATACTTGATTTTTTTAATATTGCCTTCTTTCAGGGATGCTGAAGATGTTGCCACGTATTTCTTTTGTTAGTTAATGCAAACTTACCTAAAGATTCTGATGTCCATGTTGCATAGAAGCCACCTCCTTGAATTGAGTGATCAGAGTTAAAGATGACAAGTAGTTTGCTGGAACCAGACTGAATTGTCCCAGGGGATGTGTTTCCACAATACTTTCCTATGACAGGAGACCCTGGAGATCCACCATTCAGGATAGTAACAGAATCCCACTTACAAAGTGAATGATTTTCAATGTGGAAGGCTGTAAAAGTAAGCTGCAACACACAAAAGTGACATTCAGGTGCTAAAACCAGTCACTCCAGGGAGGGTTTAGAGCAATTCCAGCCAGATCCTGTAGCCATCCTGGTACAATGATTTCTGGGTATGCTTAGGAATCCAACCCATGCTTCATGATGCTTTCCTGTAAGTATTGCTTGGAATCTTACCACTATAAGTAACAGCAGCTACTTAGCTTGAAGATAGAAATGGAAGAGGAATGCATAGGTTCAAACCTGGCATTACTGGGACTTAACCATACTTTGAAGCTAAGTATGTGCTTCAAAACAGTCTTGAATATGCGTGGGTGTTGAACTCAAGGCTTCTGGTCATGAAATACAAGTAGTTATGTAAGCAGAAGGCTCTGGATTTTTTTTTCTTCCTATTATTCTGAATCAATGTACTAACAGTTGCTAAAAATAATGTTAGTTTCCATTAAAACAGAAACAGTTCCATGGTTCATTCCTGTGGGCCTGGAAGCATCACATAAACAGACTAGGCGGGGCAGGCAGCTTCTGACCCTGTCTTCCTCCCACACTGATTCCATTTGTCCTTGCAGTGATATGCACACAGGTGGGATTTCCAGTTCAAAGATTTAGATTGCTGATGCAGTAGACTCCTGCATTTGTCGATGCTGAAATATTGATGTACACTAATTACTGCCTGGCCCTGTTACAATCAGTCTTTTTTTTTACCAGTTTCAGGAGCAGGATCTTTGTAGAAAAGTTTAGCAAACACATAATATTTCCCCCTGTACATTTTGTGTGTATTCATTTCCAAAAGAACTCTGCCTCAGTCAAAGACCAAATACAAATTTAGCTCTAATGGTTTAAATTCAGACCAGCAACTGAAACTGGCATCTTATATTGCAAAATTTAGTCTGCCTTCATTGAGGGGGCCACCACTCAGTCCTTTCAAAACAGAAATCTGCTTCCATCTGCTTAAGATTAGTTCTGCTTTAAACAAGCTTGTGGATTAAATAGACATTTTGTGTTCTCTTAAAATAATCCTGTATTCCCTGAAGTAAGTACCTAGGCAGTGGTCAGAATATCATGCAGCAGAATAATTAGGACTACGGGTTTGCATTTCTAAGAAATACCTTTTTAGTTGTAAACAAGGAAAACATGATAGGAAAATTAATGAAAGACATTACATATGAAAATCTGCAATGTGTTTTAACAAAAGTGCTTTTCAGATACTTTTCTGACCTGGACCATAAATATCAATGATTGGACCTGTGCTTGAAAGAATCAGTCAAATAATTCAGTGAGTTAAGTTTCACACTGCTTGGTTATAAAGGTGCTTAAATTGGTCTCTCAGGAGTTTGACTCAAGAAAGTAGTACCTCGGGCACCTGTTAATAGTTATTGGGAAATAAGAGCAGCATCTCATAGATGTTATTTGTACCAGAAATCATAGTATCTTCCAGACCATTAAGATACAAAAGTAACTTTCTAGTGGCTTGTAACTTCTCTGAGGAGAAGAAATACCTTCAGCCTCATATTCATTCTCATGATATTGAGAATATCCATGCATATCTAATAAAATGAGTTATTTTAGGTTTTCTAACTAGTTTTTTTAACCAAGTCACTGTTTAAAGGAGAAGTCAGTGCTATGTTTTGAGGTCAAGTTATACCAGGATCCTTCTGATTTTCAAAAAGCACAGTCTGGTTTGGTTATCTTCATTCCCCCTCTTAGTTAAGATTGATGGGGACATATTTCATTTCTCCACATTTCTGATTTTCCAATTTGTCTCAAACCTGTTCCTCAAGACTCAGAAGATTCTTCTCACACTGTCAGCTGTGCACATAATCATGACATTACGTTACTCACAGTGACAGTTTCACCTTCAGGGGCTTCCAACAACCAGGAGCAGTGAGTCAGACTGCTGTAAGGCTCTGGGTAGTTAGGGCTTGAGATAACTCCCCTTTCGCCTGACTGTATACCACCACAGGCTGAAGAAAAAAAAAATTTCAATACATTTTAGGAACTGAAAACTATAATCAAACAAATGGAAGATTATTCAGCTTATAATAGTACTAAAACGTATTTCAGTTAGACTGATACAGGTAAGGATGAACAATTTCTTTGGGAAAATCCATGTTTTAAAATGTTTATCATTGAATAGTGAGTAAACAGATGCAATGACCTTGAAACTTTGCATTTTTTCTGACACTTAATATAGCTCTGCAAAACCTTAGCCAACTGACACTTAGAGCTGCTTCTTCCACCTTATCTTCCATTTACTTATCTCAGACACTTAAGAAAATCAGTGCCATTCTTGGACCAACACAATCAAGTAAAAAAGTTGTTGATGTGTCTAGAGAAGCCCCAAGGCTAAATTCAGCTGTGACAGGAAGACTAGTTGTGTTGGCACATAAATGGCAAAGTGGTGTAATTTGCACTGATACGGCTTTAAGTGGATTTCAAAATTAGTGCTAAGGTTCAAGCAGCAGAATGCATTTCAGCTCTGCTAGCACTCTGGAGACCTATTTGAAGTAAGTCAAACTTGGCTGGTGCTACCTGTTACATCCCTATTCCCAAGAGCAACCAGCTGTTATGAGTGTTACATAGCATTGCAAAACCTCAAATGCAGTTTGGGGAATGGGAACAGTGAGGCAGAAAATAAATCTGAAAATTCAGCTGCTAGCATGTGCTTGCTTTAGAAGGATATAAATAGTGGCAGGGACCGTGTAACTTTGAGGGCCTCTTTAAGAGCTGATCCCATCACGTATATTCTCAGTATCACCAAATGAATGGCAACATTCCCCGGAAGTGCCTCAGTTGGCAAAGGCAGCAGTCTAGCAAGTCATTTACCTTCATATGTGTAATGGGCCAAGAATCCTTTATCTTCTGTGTTTTCATCACTTAAAAAGTGTACCCAGACCTGTGGGGCAGCTATGACTAATGGTACAGATGGTGCAGCCTGACCACAAAGTCTGGCTATTAGCTCTCCATCAGCATCCCCTAAGTAAAGAAAGAAAAAAAACACAACAATTTTTGAGTCCTAGAAGAGCTACAATAGCATAAAGGAATAGGGCAAACATACATTTCCTTGTGTTTTAACTAGAAAACAGAGAAAAGTACATAATCACACTTAGTAACTGATTTTTTGTTACGGACATAAGGAGAGTGCTGCAGTTCATTGCTGGGATCTAAATCTTGGCAACAAGGAAGTTCTCTCCAAAGCTATATTTATGATCCTTTTAATACCCCAGGGCTCCTTCTCTCCTCTTCCTGCCACCCTGAACACTTTCATTTTGTATGTCTCATCAGAACCCTCATTGTTCTGCCTCAAAACTACAGACTTTTGGGGGGCAGAACACTGGGAAGAGAGGACCCAAGGACTGTAACACATGGAAACCTATTGAATCTTTGTTTTTATGACATCCTCATTAAAGTCAACAGGGATTTTGAGTTTTCTACCATATAGGGATGTGCATCATCCATGAACAAGCTGTCACTGCTGTATTAACAGTAGGCATCTCTTTCCTAGGGAGATCAACATATTGTTCTGTGTATGGCAAAAAATGCCAGCATTTGCTCAAATCCTTGAAACCTAAAAGCAAGCACAACACAGTCCACTATACTTCTGTGACACTGCAACTTTGCTCATGTTGGTGTAAGCTCTTATCCGTCACACTGGCAAAAGTATCAGCTTCTGTTTATTACTGATAAATTATCAGGAGAAAGAAAAGAAGTGTAATAGCATTCCCCATGACATCCAGGCAATGCCATTCCCAAGTTCACTTCTCTAACAATAGTAGGCTGCTGGTCTTAAAAGTCTCTATTCAAAAAGCAACTTGTAGCTCCACATGTAATGACAGACTGTTCTTGCAGCAGAGCAAGAGGGAGAAATTTTGGGTGTTCTTCAAAGCCCTTTCACAGTTATTCTACGTCACACGGTTGAGTGACTACATGTTTCTGTCATATATGGTGATGCAGCCACCATTTGAAATGCCTTGAAGCACAAGGATAAAAAGTGACATATAATAAAATTCTATTAATGTAAAATACAAAGAGAATGGCTACAAACTGCCTTGTTAACATGCATTGATATTGATATTGAGCTGTACAAGCAGAAGGCACTCATGATAAATGATATTACTATTTTTTCAGGAAAAAATAGTAATATCTACTTTGAGTATGTGAAGTATATGTTTTGTGCACTTCTTATGAGGTGACTGTGTGACAGATGTGATGCGGGTTACTCAGTCTCTACGGTGTGAAAAGTGACACCTATCATTGCTTTCATGAATGGCCAGCTGGCTAGAGAACTAGACTGTTGATAAACAGAAAACGAAAACAGAAATACTGTGCTGTAAGATTATCATTCAAAATGAAGGGAATGGTCTGAAAGACAAAACCAAGAGTTTCCACAAAAGCCAAAAGTTAAGAGTTTATTTCACTGTAGCAGTATGCTCAGCTGTATTACCGTATACAGACTACATGCACACACCTGATAATTTAATAACTCAATATAAACCCTTATCCTAAGAAATTTAAAATATTTATCTATTTAGCTTAAATATTTCTCAGTGAATACATACAGTTAATTCCACTTTCTTCCCTTTTTTCTTTGAGTACCGTGACATGTATTGTATGGGTATCACAAAAGAATTTTGCACATCTTGGCTTCATTTGGGGTCTCTCGGGTAACTTATTGTTGAATTGGACCTCTCCCCAACTACACATCTGCTGTGTCAAGAGTCTTAAACAATACCTGCCTGAGTCTAGTGATATTCTGCACTATTTGCATCTCAGCGCTCATTAAATGCTACTTGTCAGCATACACATATGAGTTAGGGCATTCTGCTTTTGACACAAGACTAGTTATGAAACTCAAGTTCCATTAGTATGGTTGAAGTGAACATTACTATTTAGATGACAAAACTGTGCAGAGCAAAACAAGACTACACTTTCTCCCCTCTCCTTTGATTGTATTGCCTGGAGGCCTGAGGTTCATGATGAAGTGAGTAGTGGGAATGGATGTGTAACAAAGCAGATATATTTTATTATTTCTCTATCTGAGTTTTCTTTCTATTATTCCCCAGCTCCAGTGCATACATGGGAGAGAACTGCTAGGCTATGCAGCTATGCACGCTCTGGCTCTACAGAGGACAAACCAATGCTACACAATCAAAAGCTCTTGCTCAAGTGAATGCAAATAAGGATGTAAAGGATTCCCGCTCTCAACCTTTTCACATCTTTCAGAATTGATTTCCTGGTAAATTAGAACCTGCTCTCTCTGGGACTCACAGATACAGCCCTCAGTGAAGGAGACAGCTGCAGCTTTCATACTACACTTGGCATTAGCTGAGTGACTTTCATATGACATTTCCAGCTGCTGTTCTTGCAGATAGCTAAAGATGCACAAATATGCAGAGATATTATTGGTGCATTAATCCTGTGATTTTTATTTTCCTTTTAAATGCTTCAGTCTGTATTTTGTGATGCAATCGAACAGGAAATATGGATTCCTTTCTGGAGAATCATCTTATAGACTACAAAAATGGGGTATGCAGCCCAGAGAGTATGAATAATTAAAGCATTCTTTACTCCATTCCTGCTGTCCCTGGAGACATTGCAGGACCAGGGAGAGAATGGGCAGTGAACCAAATAAATTGTTTTGATCATTCTAACTTCCATCTTTCAAGGAAGATGAAGTTCATATTTTCCCTTGTAATGAGAGAGTCAGGTTGGTATTGCAAACACCAAAATAATTTATCCTCCTAACATACCTATCCAGTTTTCTATTTTCTGCCCTGAAAGAAAAGGTGACCAAATGCATGCATCAATTGCTCTGGTAGTGAAATCCCACTCCTGGTCATGGATGCAACATGGAAGGCATAATATGAACACTCCCAAATGTACAGATTCTACAATAGCCATTCTCTGCAAATATATATGAACAAGAATTGGCACAAACGGAGTTGCACGACCAGAACCTTGACAGGCTTTATCCATTCTCCTGCTGAACATACAAACCTATTCGTAGCTCTAGGTAGTCATACTGACAGTTCTGGTGATGTTCCAAGTGGAAATCCTCGAAAGACACATAAATGGATGAATTATAGTGGGAGGGGTTTTCAATTATCCATTCACAGTTCAGGTTATTTGTGTAATTTTTGATGCCATCATAACCAGGAGAGGAGAAATTCCCACCTACATGTCCCACCAGGATTCCACCACAAACTGCAGAAACAAAATACAGTTTATTAAAAAATAGTAATAATTCCTGTATGAAGTGAAATCTTGCCCCTGTTTATTCAGATATGCTCATGTCAGAAAGCACATGTCCTGATTAGATCAAAACCTTTTCCATCTTCTTATTTTTCATAATTTACTGCTATGTAGAAGAGAATTCTTGCCTATTGTCCTGGAATTTATTGTCAAGTCTTTAAAAACACGTGTAAAGCAAAGAACAATTATGTACAGTATCAAATAAAATATTTCAACAGTACTATCAATACAACAAGCATTATTTAACATTTCAATAAAATCTCACTACAGCTTCAGTTCAGTATTGCTCAGCCCTGCTCATTAACGAATTTGATACTCAAGAGAAAATTTTTCTGAAACACACCCTCAAGAGCAATACACTCATGCTACAGCAGGATGCTTGGGGTGGGAGTTGGAAAATCAAGTTCAAAAGACTCAAGGATATAGTAGTAAGGCTCTGGCAGCTGCCTCCTCTCTGGAGGCTGAGCTTGCAAAAGTAGGTTAGCTGCACTATTTCACAAGCTACAATAAATTAATTACACCCCTGAGTAATAAGGAAGCACTTGAATTATTCAATTTGTCTATGGCACTACGCTTTTTCGAAATTTTCATGGAATAAGGCCACTTCATACCATCTCTTACTCAAGACCAAGTACAAAACAATAGAACAGTAGGGAGAGCAGGGACTGTGATCCATATGTATTCCCATCCAGGGATGTAAGAGAAAAAAGGTATCAGAGATTTGTTATCTGTTTAGGTAATTTTTTGTTATATGTGCCAGTACTTTATCTATGGCATGGCTCACCAAAGAACAACCACTTAATTCAAAAACATACACTACCTGCATCTTCACTAGATGTATACGAGACACTGAAACCTCTGGTTGCACGGGACATGTCTGTCACCAAAATGACTTTCATTGTGTTTCCAGTGGATTTCACCTCAGTGCCTGGATTTACCTCTCCACACAGCTTGGCCAGCCGGGGAGAATTCTGTCTAAGGCCATTGTAAACCTGTGGGGTCAGAGTAAACTCTTATGAGATCAATATATAGTAGTCTGATGAGCATCTCCGGTATCATTTAACAGTGTTTCACATCTTTAATATGAGGTTCATTGATGTCCCTCACAGCGGGTTAGTTCTCAAACTACTCCAAACCTTGGCACAAACTTGCATTGCCTTGAGTGGAGGAGGCCCTGAAGCAAAACATTAAAAATAACTTGCTCATTTTGATGAAACACAAACATATTCTCTCTGTCTCTTTCCTTTTTAAAAAGAGAAATTGAAATAGTTTTATTGGGAAGAATACTGCAGTTTAGCTCAATATTTATATATTCAATCACTTAATAAGATACTGATCATGTTTATTTCATTTCAAATCATTGCCTTTGTATTCTTGTTAAAGCCAACATCAACTTTATCAAAATCTTCAACAGATTGAGTGCTGCTGGGTGTTTTTGATTAATTCAAACATTTCACTTTTTGATGATCCAGAGGTATTTTTCTCAGTTTCTTTCATACAGTCCTTAGGCTAGGAGTTAATTTCCTTCTTTCTACGACTGCCTCAGCAGTGCAAGCAAGGCTGAAATGATGTTTCCCACTGAGAATTGGAATTTGTTAGAGTGTTGAATGCATAAAAGCGAGCAGGAAAAATCTTCCTTTAAGAGATCATTAATTTATAAAAAGCCAGCTCCCAATGCTTTGCCTAAAGCATCTGTGAAGGAAAACAAGGGAAACATCATCTACAAATCCCAAGGGATAGCTACTTCACCCCTCTCCATGCTTGTGCATGGGCTGGCTTCTGATCATCCTACAGTTAATTCCTGTGTTTGCACTGCTAATCTGAACAAATGGGAAACTAAATCTATCTCTCATTTCTGCAGTTTTATAGAGGAATCACATTTTTCAGGCATTTGTACATCTGATCAGGTTAAGGTCTAGATGCCAGGTTTGATAATTTATTTTTTTTTCACTAAATAACCAGAAATCTAAAATAAACATGATAAAATAACCAATGTTTATCCCTTTGAAGATGGAGGGTGATAAAGAGGTAGAGTTTTCTGAGATCTCCCTATCTTTCTTTCAGAATATACAAGGTCCCACCCAGTAGTAGTCATTTATTGCAATCCTTGGCTTTTTCTCTCTCTCTCTTTTTTTTTCTTTTTTAATTGACAGCAGTAAGTAACAACAGCAGTAGCAACCTCCAAAGTCAAAAGAGACCTGGAACTGACTGATGGACTTTGTGTCCACAGAAAAGAGACCTTGAAAGCTTTCAAAAACCCCAGAACCTTTTTCCATAATCGATAAAGAGATAATTCCAATTATTTTTTCCAAGTCTTCCACTCTGCCTTGGCCACAATTTCAAAAATTCCACACTCTAAAACAAGCAGACGAGTTTATATGGTCTACAGAGGTAATTTTCTCCCATTTATCTGTTTTCCCCAGATTAAATTATGATTTGTCTTTAAACCATATATAGACCTAGAAGTGACATTTCAGCTTTATTACATCCACTAGTACTCCATAAAGGGATTAGGAAGAGCAATTTCTGCCTTTACACCCAATACTCACAGCCACATAATCTGATGAGCAGCTCCAGTGGTCTTCAGTTTTCATATCATTAAAGGTTAGAGTCACACGTCGTCCTTCTTCCACTGTGATCCTCCATTCACACACTCGGTTATGTGGGTATAGGTTGGGATAGTTGGGTGAAGTAAATGTTCCAACAGGGGCAGTAAGATCTCCACCACATTCTGAAATACCCAAGTATTAGGACACTTCTTAGAATAAAGCATTGCTTATAGAATTATAGCAAAAAAACCCCAATAATGCAAGAAAAAGAGATCCTGAGAGATTAATTTGATTGGCCTACCCTGTCCACATATTTACCTAAACAGCTACATTCCTGCTGGTCTTTATCACTCAGCCATAAATGCAGTTGAATATTAACTGACCAAAGCAGCTCTTTTTAGTCCATTTATTAATATTGTCTTTTCTGAAGGGCTCATCCCAGGCTTCAGAAGCCTATGAGTGACACATAGGCTTTGATGTGAAGTGATACAAGCCTCTCACTGTGGCAAGACCTGAGACATTTCTGCCCTTCAGATGACTGGGCAGAGCTACACAGAACGAGCAGGGTCTTAGAGTGGGTAACAATATAATAACCTGACTGGCCACAGTCCTGGGCAACTTCCTCTACCTGACCCTGCTTGAGCAAGGGGTTGGACTACCTCATCTCCAGAGGCCCCTTCCAACCTCAGTATTTCTGCAGTTCTGTGATTCTGCTTAAAACCTATGGGTTGAAAACTATTGATTTTAGGGAGATTTAAGAATACCACTCACCTTAGAGGGACAGAATAACATAAAGGAAAATTACAGCATTTCTCTACCTTCGTGCTCTTCAAGAGGGATGTGGGGAGGGTATGTTAGGACAACTCTAGACTAGTTGTTGAAGAGAAAAGGAGTGGAAGAGTATGCTTCATTGTGCAAGACCTACCACTGATGGCAACACCCATTATAGCAGGACACTGCTTGCTTCACAAAGTTTCATCTCAGCTAAGTAGTTGCCAGAGAACTCTATTCATATTTCCCCCTGAGTTTATAGTTAAGACCAAATAACACACCCCTCCAAGAAAAAGTGATCTACAATATATGCTCTATTAGTGCAATACAATCTGTGGTATATGTTGCTTCCTCAAAGTATCTCACAACGTTCCAAATCCAACCTTCAGTACTGGAATCAAAGCGCAGTCTGAATCCTTGGGCATTGACTGATCCATCAGTGACTAACTTGACATAAGCAAAACTGTCAGAGGTGTCCACAGCATCAGGGAGAGTATTACCACAGTACCTGCCCAACAAATTTCCTGCAAAAATCACATACAGAAAGACAGTTTTATATCAATATATTGTTTATATTTATATTTATATTTATATTGAAGGATCATTTTCTAGTTTAACTGGACAGGCAGGAGTAAACCAGTAAAATCAAGTTATTGCTGGTAAATAGAAGGGGGTTGTTTGCCTCACTTTGCATCAGCAAGCAAGGCAGACAGAAGCAAATACTCTATACTGAAAAGGCTCACTTTGTACCCAAAGGGAAATGCTTTCAGGAACCTCTGGTGAGGTTTCATAGTAGTACTGGGGAGGGAAAGACAAACACTGAAATAATTCTCTGACCGGAAGCGTTGTATTCTCGGATCTCCACAAAGTCATTTGTGCACTCGGAGGAGTTTTGAATATCTAGGCCTTCTAGTCTGATGGTAAGATAGTGGCCCCTGGGACCCTGCAGAAACCATTCACACAGCAGGTTGTCTTGATAATGAACGTCAGGATACCCTGTGCTTTCGATGATGCCGGTTTGTCCTATCACTGTCCCACCACAGGGAGCTGCAAAAGAAAGAATATTGTTTGGTTGACTGAAGGACCTCAGAAAGATGATTATTCTCCTAAACAAGAGCTAAAGCTGAGGCACAACTGACTTGTTCCCTAACTGTGGCAATAAAACAGGAATTGCTTTCCAGTTAAAAATATTCCATGTTCTCCAGCTAATTCAGCCAGTCCTAGTTTGTTTTTTGCTGCTGGTTTTCTTTCACACACACACATGTCCCCTGCCGTTGCAAGCAACCCTTCCTCTCTGTCGTATCTTTTATAACTTGAACAAATTCACAGTTTTCAATCTAATCTTCACCTATCTCCATATTTAGCAGAAAATCTTGCAAAGATGCATCAGATAAATTATAAAGCAATGCAGCTGGCTAAGCATGGATCTAGATTTTTTATGACTGGCAGAAGTTGACTCCTGGTATGGGCCTACAGCTATGGTCTAGACTCTTCTTTCCTGTTGTCCCTTCCTGTTCACATTCCACTCCTTGTGATGCCTTGGTAACTGATCATTGCACAATTTGTAAAACAGCTTCAAAAGTTTCATTTTTAATTTTCTCTTTCTGAACACTCATTTCTCTGTGGTACCTGCAAACATAAGTTTGTATTAATAAGGCTTACAGCCAACATGTGCTTGCAGACACATGGTGTGATTCTTTAGGTGGTCCTGTGCAGGGCCAGGAGTTGGACTTCGATGATCCTTGTGGATTCCTTCCAACTCAGGATATTCTATGATTCTATGAAACAATATTTCCAGGAGGAATTTATTGGAATTTTTTTTACAGTGAATTCTGTGTCTGTCTGTTACAATCCTGCCATGACAATAACAGTTGTGTTCTTACTGTCTCCTCCTCTGAGTGATCAGTGCTTTGTGTCAGGATGACTGGCATCCAGCTAAGATTCTGTAAATCCATTAGGGTTAAATGTAAGTTGTGGCTTCATATACTAACAAGTATATATATACAAGTTCCTTCAGTTTTCATATTCAGAAATATAATAGCACGCTGTTTTGACTTAAGTGCTTCAGATCTAATGCAATCAGCAAAATTCTGTGTAAAAACAATATATTCCACTGTTAATATATTTTAAAACAATATATTAACAATCCTAGACTTTCCTATATGAGTGATACTAACATAATATCTGTTATTCTTTGAAGATTATTAACATTGTCAAAACCAAGAAAGTAGCATATTTCTCAATCTGACCAAAGACTATTTTTTCTTTAATTTTAAAACTTTGCTAGTGCTTTCCAATCCTGTTTTTGCAGTTTGAGAGCAAATAATTTTAAAGTATTTCTCTTCCCAACTGACAAATAATGCTTCTCAATTCCTTTTTCAGTCCATTATTCTGCTACCTCTGTTTGCCTAGCAGCATTGTCATTATAGTTTGATTTACATTTACATAGAAAAGCTCCTAATTTGTTCTTCTCCTGTCAGTTTTCAGCTGATCTTTGCATTCCCCTTCAGAATCTTGCTCATGAAAGTGACATTAGGTTTGCACGCAGAAAATCAAACCATGTTACACGACTTTATCCGTATTGACTTTTTTTCTACTCCTCCTCTGATAATTGCCTTTGAGGTTATCCAGTAATTGTTTTCACTGCAGCACGTCTGTGAGTACTTTCCTATTCATATTTCCCTAATTTTCACTGCTTGCTAAGTGCAGAACATGCTGACATTTGTCAGCCCACAGATCTGATTTAAACCCTATTACAAATGTCTAACAGTTGAGACCAAAATCTTCTTTAAAATCAAGAAATTGATAAATGCAAGCATTACCAATGGAGTATTTAGCATTGAATCCCACGTGTGTGGCGCTGCTGTCAGACCTGAACCTCAGGTACATGACAGCTCCTGAGGATCTCTGCGAGCCTGGCATCAAACCTCCACACAATTTGGCAATGACAGGGGCGGTGGTGTCAGCACCACTGCGGAGCTCTAGGTAGCTGGTAGTGCAGCTAGAAGAGAAGAGAATTTTCTGTTCAATGTATGGCAGTAATGCTTCAAAATCATTTCAGTATGTGCACAAAGCCATGAAGCTGTAGTGAATTAGATCAGTTTCCATGCAGTGTGACCAGGACAGAATCAACAATTTCGTAATTCATTGTACTATGTAATAATTGAATCAAAAGAAGTGCTAGAAGCATTGAGAATGATTTATCTAAAACTCAGCCTATGATCAGACCAGATCTGACAGAAGCAAGTTCTGGGAAGAGATATGAACAGTACTGGCAAAGTAGTTGTTGACCATCTTTAATATTTTTTATTTGCAGCATTCAGATTCAGCTGATATTCCTTATTAAGTCTCACTGATGAGTGTTGAAATAAGGAACAACACCACAGATTAAGGGAATAAAAATTCAAATCTGGGGGTTACTTAGCTGCGCACAGAAAGACCCAAAATGTCTTAACTAACAACTTTGCTTTCATAATGATGCAGTGTCCTGGGAAACCAGAAAGGATACCTTTGGAATTGTCTATCTTTCACCATTTTTTCTGGAGGTGGTCTCACAGATGATGCTCACCTTTGCCTTATAGTGGTCCAGCCCTAATCAATGAAGTTACATCAGCTGGAAACTAGCCTTGTTTTATGCTTCAGGCAGGGTGTGCAAAATGTGTAGACCCATTGCAAACCAGCAGCCAGGCAATGGAGGAGGGAGACAAAGTGTCATGGTGGTAATCCACTGGCTTTAAATGCACCTGAGAGTCCAAATGACTGCAAAACTAAATGCTGAATATGAAAGAACTAGAGGGCACTGATTTTACAGAAAGCACCTTTCTACCATGGATGTTTCCACTTTGACAGTTATATTAATTTCTGTTATACACTGCAAATTCTAGGAATGTAAACCAGTGGCCTGATAGCTCCAGTGATCTCTCAAAAATTTCCCAACCACGTTGGATTGTAAATCTAGAAGTGTTCTCTGGGAGGAATTAGAGAAAGTAACAGGGAAAGAAGATTCAGAATTAATTCTCTGAAGAAACACAAGTAAAATAAAGCAGATGTATACTTTGGTGAAGGTTCAATGTAAAACTGATCTTCAAATTGCAGCTCTACTGCATGTCCATTGGGAGCAGTTATGGTCCAGACACAGTCAGCATGCGGGGGGTAATTGCTCGGATAGTTGGGGGAAGATATATATCCACTGGGGTTGAAATCATTGATATAAATGTTCCCTCCACAAGCTGGTAAAGAGAAGATCAGCAATAAAAAAACAACATGTAAAGGAAACGGGTGAGGCACCAAAAATATGAGTTATCACTATATTCCAACACTTTCCTTTTGATGTCATACAGTTTCGTAAAAAACAAATACATTTTATTGCTTACCATGAGAAAACATTTTAATGCAGTAGAATCCTATGTTTCTGTGCTCCTGTTTACCTATCCCTACTCATTTCCAAATGTTCAGGGCCCTGAATTAAACTGCTATTAGTTCTTCCTTGGATTGCTTCTAAAACAAGCAGAAAACATATTTCTTTCCTTGTTTCTATCCCAATTCCCAAGAGCTAGAAAGCCCACAAGTCAGACCCATCAATATTTCTGTTAATCGTTCCCCACTTCTATTTCCCAAAAACTGAAATGTCTGCTTGAGAAAATAATGAATGTGTGAGGAATTCCAGTCAGAGCAAACATGAGGGTTTGTTCAGGTCCTTTATCCCACAAAAATATCTTTATTTTGACCAGAACTTTTGCATCAAAACAACGCTTTATGTTGTAGCAATACTGGTTTAACACAGGGCTTTAATCAAGTTCCATAAATTGAAGTAGTAGAAATGCTATTGTAGAGCTTCATTGATTCTCCCTGTGAATCCACCAGAAGAAAGATTCTTTGGGGCAGCAGGGAAAATAAGCAAAAATCAAGCACTTAAAAATTTGAGTAGATAGAAGGGTCACCTCAGTTGTGTTTAGATACACTGTTTAACAGTGTATCTAAACATGTGTCCTCAGTGGCGTGTGTCACGAAAACAGCGGAAAACCTGCAAATGCCGAGGTCCCGATTTATTCCTGGGACCTGAGTCTCCATTTTTTCATTCTTTCAAAAAAGTTAGGTCTGGCAAGTAATGTTTTTTTCTCAGTTGGGAATAAAACTTGTGAGAAGTGTTGTCACCTTTCTAGACATACTAGCCTGAATAATTCCTAACATAATTTAGCAGTTGCACTGCATATACTATATGTTCAAAATAATGTTCTTGTTTCCAGGGTTTTTTTCTTTTCCTGCATGAATTTTTAATGTCTCTTCCTAACTATAGATGTTATTTCCCTGCTAAAGTGTTTCCATTTTTTTTAAACTTTAATATCTCCAGGTTCTGTGACCTGACTTTCTTTAAAAAGGAAAAATTTGAGTGTCAGATCAGAAGTTATGCACTAGAGGACATTTTTGCAGATATATGATTTTACCAGGGTTGGGACTTTTAACAAGAACTTCCTTTAAGAGGAAAAACTCCAAGTTACATATATATGACTTGCAGAATTTAGGCTTATTACCTAGACTTACCTAGACTCTTAGCTTCATATATCAGTTTGAATCCTTGACCCTCATTCCTGCTGTCAGAAATGAAGTGGACAAACAGCTGATTGTCTGTGGTGTACATGGTTGAGATGGGGCTGCTTCCACAAAACCGTCCATTCCCTCTTGCAGACACCAAAGGTGGAGCAGCATTATCTAACCCATTCTTCAGCTAGAAGAGAAATTGCTAACGTCACTTCAAAACAAAACAGCCCTGGAATGAGCACACTCCATCTTAGTTCTTCCAGGCACAGGGGAAATTAATAACCTAGTGATTAGTTAATGCACAGCAATAAATAAGAGAGACACAGAGAGAGAGAGAGAAAAAGAGAAATAATATCTGTGGTATTTGCCTTTGGTGTTTGCATGCTGTGACACCCTGGGCTGCCTTACTGACACTGAAATCTGTAAGATTCAGTAGCTTTCATAGATTTGAGGACTGGGTGACTGAGTCAATAACCTCACCTCTATGTAATCTCCAAGACTGCAGGAAGTATCCTCACTCTTAACCTGGAAAGGCTGTTCAAAATGAACAGCAATGATAAATCCAGCGGTTACCACTACATGCCAGGAACAATTCAGATTAGGAGCATAGTCTTGAGGGTAGTTGGGGGATGCTATCACACCCCTGCTCGTGTGCAAATAGCCTCCACAACCTGAGAAAAACGAGTCGAAGTAAAGAGAAAAATATTAGTGTCAACCATTCCCCTAACCACTTAGAGAAAACCCCTGTCTACTAAAAGATGTGACAGGAAAAAAAATGTTGAAACAAGTGTATGAAGAGTTGAGGGGTACAGAGCAAGGCACACGATGAATGATGTCCCAAAATACAAGCCAGTAGATTGCAAGATGACACACACCAAAACTCCTGACAGTGAGACTCAGGTCTCAGACTTAGAAGATGAGTAAGCAGGCAGCCATGTCAAGGACCTCCCATGGCATGAGCATATCATTACACTGTCTGAGGACATTGCTTCTAGCCATGGACCAAACCACTGCCACCTCCTCCAGCTGCCAGTTAGATAAACTTCGCTGACTCACTGTTGTCCTAACACCTTCCTTGGTGGCTCAGCCCACTCAGGAATCTGTTATCATTCCTGGGTGCATGTGGGAAGACTGTCACTGGAAATTGCTGACAGTCCTGATAGAACTTATACAGCTTTCTGCATCTGTCTCTTTATATTTTGTGTCTATGCTTTGAGTCATTTATTTCCCTCTCTTAGTCAGGCATTCTTTCACTCTTAGCTGAGCTGTTATAAGCTTAGGCATACACTTTTCTTCCTTCTGAAAGGTGACTGGTCTGGTTGAATCATGCTTTGTTGCATTATATTGCTGTGAAAATAGCAAATTTTACCTTTGCAGAGTCAGACGTTTATTAATAAATATTCATGAGATGCAAAAAACTGACGTGTGTGATTAATTAGATAGACTGTAGGCAACTGTTAACAATGCCAGGGTCTTTTCTTTTCTTACCCCATTGTTAGCAGCAAGGCAGGCATTTATCTGGGGATAAGAGAAGCATATCTTACTTTTTTGATAAGAGGCATTAAACCCAGCTCCAGTGACACGTGCATCTGACACGAAGTGGATGAACATCGCCTCTCCAGTTGATCTTATTGGCCCAGGAGGTTCTCGTCCACAGACAGTAGCCAGCACTGGGGAAAGACTCGTGTCTCCTGAGACCAGAAGAATACATGAGTGTTAAAACTAAATCAGTTCACATTTGTCTGCTTGTTGCTGTGTCTCACATCTTCTTTTAGGAAGATGCTTTTTAAGACCTTTAATCCCTTACAGACTAAGAAATATTTTTATAGACCACCAAATATTTTTTTACACTTTGCTAATTTTGTATTAACTACCAGAATGTCTCAGAATCAAGGAAGAGTACTGATTGAGAGCATGTTCCCATTGTCACCTACATTGCTTAAGCAGCTATTGGGACCTTGGGTCTGTACTGCATGCTGTCAAGGTAGGGCAATGTTGGCTACTCACCATCTTTGATGATAAGTTTGTCATAGTTGCATGATCTGTGAGATTCTATGTCTAGTGCCAGGATATTGAATTCCACAGTGGATCCTGGAGCTCTGATAAGCCACACACAGTCAGCACGATTTCTGTAATTCATGGGCCAGCCCGGTGAGAAGAGGAATGAAGGTGTTTCTTCAGTTGTTACAGTCCCTCCACATGCACCTGTCATGTACAAGAAGACAAAAATGAAAACATCCTCTTTTTAAACTGAACTCTCCCCTCATATGAGAGTCCTATAATTAAGCATAATGAGGGCACAGTGATGTACTCACAGTAATGCAGGAATTCTTCAACTTCAGTTTGGATTGGCAGTATAAAACCTGAAAATCCTGATCTGTAAGGATGTGCTACCTGGTGCAGCAATGATGTGATCTGTTTCATCACGAATATCTAACAAATGACCTAAGAGTATCTACCACAGCTTAACACAGCTTGTGTATCAGAAAGGAATGGTGCATACATAACCAACAATACAGAAACAATTTAGACCCTCTTGAAATGGAAGTTTTTTTTTTTTCTCCACTAATGATGTCTCAGCTATATGCTTAGATCACGATGAAGCTGATCAAAGTCATTGCAGGGCTCAGTGCTCTCCCAGCAGTTATATCCCTTACATACAGCTACTATAGTGCAGAGCCCCAGGAATCTGTAGTACCTCTGTCCCCAGAAATCTGCCTTCAGATTTAGAAAGAAGACATTAACTTTTACTTGTTGCTCTTGCTCAGAGAAAGTCATTGGCACAAGAAGCATATTTCATCTCCTTCCAGGAGCTTTTTGTCAGAGGTACCTGATGATACTGAGCATATTCTCTTTATTTATGAATATGAGATGTATTATAGTGAAAGGTTTCATATCACAATGGCCAGTGATTTAAGAATGGTATTTCAAGAGGGATAATTTTTCATGAAAGAATATCAAATTTTTAGATTTAATGAAATACCCGTGTAAAGAAAAATGACCGTCCAGCAACATGCTTATTTTAGAATGGTGTAAACTAGTATATCTAAGAGTCCCTAGAAATTGTTTTAAAAAGCTATTAAAATGTTTAATTAAAATGTCACCGAATCTTTCCCTGGCTAATAGTAGGGTTTTCTCTTGTGGAGAAATTGGTTTGGAGTTCTTTAAGTACAGCTGAGTGTATCACGGGCTAGTATCGCTTTGAACTGTGCCACCCACTGATAACCCACCTCTAGCAATGGTGTGTGTAACAGCAGAAGCATCCACTGCATACCACTCCAAAAGAAAGCCTTTTCCAGTCACAGATGAATCTGACTGGAACTGGATTGTCATCGAACTGCCAGAGGATGCAAAAGAAGCAGGGTCTGCACCACAGTATGTTGCAATGGGACGAGAATGAACAGTGGGCCCATCATACACCTGCAGAGAGAAGGAGAACAGTGCTGTTCCTCATACAGCCAGGATGTATTCATCTGCCCCATAGCCATCAAGTCTCCAAGGAGAAAATTACCCTGTTCAAATGAGTGAGAGATCTTTCAGCAAATATCAGGTAGAGAGAAACCTCTCTTACAAAAATGGAACAAAATCTCCCTTTCCATTAGATGCTGTTAAATGTGAAGCTTTCACAGAAGAAGGATTTGAATGGAAGTTATCAAATTCAGCTCATTCTTCATCACAGGGCAGCTCTTTGGGGACATAGACTGGCATCCCACATTAAAAGAAGCCCACAGGTACAATTTTGTTACTCGAAGGGGAAAAAAGCCATGATATGAATGGAAAAAGGCATTATTTTTCTTTTTTTTTCTTCCCCTGATGAACACATATATTTTGAATTCTATCAAATAAATATGCAAATATACTTTTTTCATTTTATATATTTATAAGCCAAAATCTTGGCTGGTGAAAAGGTACTTGTCCTCTGCCACCTTTCAAACCTATTTGTGTCCTTGTTGTCTCTCATCCAGTAGAAATGTCCAGTACAAAAAGCTAGAAAATATTAAATAAACATTACTATTAAATTGAAGATCTGATCTTGAGTCAGGTTAAAGGCCAGGCTGATTTATACTCACAGAATGTCTAGCTGATTTAAGAAACTCATTTTGCTTTCAGAGGGACAAAGAAAGGTAGGCTGAGTTAGAAGAAAAAAAAGCTGTTAAAATATGACATGAGATGGAGGGAAAAGTATTTCCTTTTTGAATTAATATTACACTCAAATATCAGTAAATTAATAATGAATTGAATATGTTGAACTAGTATTAACTTTCTCAAATATAAAAGGATAACTGGTGAATCAACTGCTTAAAAAAAAGACAAAGCCAAGAAGAGCTTTACCTTATTTGTTATGTTTAGCTAAGTTCAGAAAGAAGTTTTTGCCTCTCTTGTTCCATTTTGCTTAGCATCATGTTTGCTGTATTGAAGATGTCCCTGCTTATTGCAGGGGGATTTAGACTAGATGACCTATAAAATGTCCCTTCCAACTCAAACTATTCCATGATTCCATGATTCTATTTTTTAGCCTGGTAAAAAGGCTAGACTATATTACAGGAGGGTACAGAAAAACAATCAAACTGAAAGAAAGAGGTACCTTTCTACTGCCAGCAGCAAGATTACTGATGCAGAGAGCAAAGAAGATGCAAGTAGAGGATTGTTCCTTTTAGCATTTAGAAATAACTTAATTTTTAGAAGCACTGAGATGATATTATCACTGTTGTCCTCAACTGAACCAGCACAGAGCAAAGCTCAGTCTGGTATCTGACCTGAAATTCTTGAGTATTAATATTCAGTATTGTACCATTCTGGGCTTATTTTTAGAAAGTTTCAAACTCACAGATTGGAAATATTTGTTAGGGAGCCAAAGAGTTTGTAATCCTTCCTCCAACTAGTAATTATTGTAAAGACAACATAGCCAAAGCAATAAGCCACACCAGATCCTCAGAAATTCTTCCTCTTGTAGGTTTCTCTATTCATGATTTTTATCAAAGTTCATTGAAATAAAATAACTTCTCACAATGAAATCACCTTTAGCTTGTCATACTGGCAGCTGTGATGATTTTCGATATCCATCTGCAGGATACGGCCACGGATAACTTGTGAAGCATTAACGCTTATTCGCCACTGGTAATTGGAATTGTGAGGGTAACTTCTGGGCCACTGTGGTGAAGCTATTTGTCCTCTGTCTCCTACGATGTCATTTCCATACACTGAAAAACAAGAAGGAGATATCTAATGACTCCATTTCACATAGATTAAAAGAAGCATTGGGGCCCATCCGACTTAATTTACTTAGGACTAGACAGTGCTGCAAGGCATAGACTTATGTCTCAGACAGTCCTAGGACTCACATCTAATTATTTTCTTGTTTTGAGGGATGCAGTGTACCCTTATCTGAAGGAAATTCCCCATTTGAACCCTGTGGGTCTACATGTAGGAGAGGTGGAAAGATGGCATGTCTAAACTCCTCCCTGACTCTGCCTACTTGATGTTCATTTCTTCCTAAATAATATCCTAATAAATAATAATTTGTTTTTAAAATGCCTTTGTGTGTTCTGGTGAAAAACAGTTCTGATTTCATTGAGGTCTAAACTATCGACACTTCGTTTTCAAAATGAGTAGTAAAACTCTCAATATAAGGAAAATTTTTAGAAGTTTAGCTTGCATAATCAGAATGGCTGTGGATGTTTCACTTCAGCAATCTGTTCATGTAGCAAGTCAGACTGATGTTGGCAATAGTGCCGTGAAATTTTGGAACTATAAATTGGCATAATTTCTTTTTCTTCTAATTCCAGTCCCTGGTAGATGGCATCTGGACCCAAACCAGAAGATAGACACTGTCATACTCAAACAGCAAAATGGAAAGATGGGAAAGAAATGGGTTTTTTCCCCATTTGTCAATTGCCTAATAAATGGCATTTAATATACTTACAAAATTACTCAGTATACTTAACATACACACGATTTCTGCTCTGGCATGTTTTAGAGCATCCCTTTACATTCAGCAGATATTTTACAAAATATTTTTAAAGTGAATTTACAGACCTGTTGACATCAGCAAACATTTTCTAACAGACTTTATAGAGTCAAACTATTACTTTTTTGAATCATTTTGGAAGTATTATGAAAGAACAACAGTTTTCAATTAAATAACATCTACTTACAGTGAGAGAATGTGGCCCTGAAGCCAACATCAGTGCCTTCACTGTCCGAGACAAATTTGACCCACAGGACGTGTCCAACAGTAGATGTATAATTTGAAGGCAAGGAGTTCCCACAGAATCGTCCTGACAGTGTGCCTGTATCGTTCCCTTCACGAATCTCCAGGTAATCTTTGGTGCAGCCATCGCTATGTTCCACCTGAAATGCTCTGTTTCAATAGCAGGAGAAGAGCATCAGCATGCATATGACTGGCACATACTTCAGAGTGTGCCCTGCCAGGCCACTAATCCCCCTGTAGCTGGTACCCTACTGTAAGAGTTGAAAGGAGGGCAGCAACAAAACCTGCATCACCTGCCAAGGCCACCAATACAGGGCTCTCTCTTTCCTAGCCCCTTATGTTATGACAGAGCTTCAGTTTGCAAAGTTACAATTTTTAAAGAGTTCTCAAACCCTTGCAATATTTCTTGGTTCTCTAAGAACAACCATGAAGCACAGTAAGGCCAGATTTTTAATATAAGCTCAGGTTAGACTGTTTACTGAGTGTCAGGTGCAGAGAATATTTTGGCCTTACAAATCAGTTTGCAGCCCCTTCATATGTGTATTACTTCACTACACTCTGTGAGAATACAATTGTTGGAGGCCTAGATTAATTTGTAGTTGACACCTCAGAACTCAGAAATCCCTTAGTAGTTTCTCCAGAATTATAAAATATTAATGTTTCTCTAGCATCTCTGAGTTTCACATATTTGGGTGTGCAAAATAATAAAAAGGATTGTTATGAACTCTTCCAAACTACTTTTTACTATAGAACAGGAATGGGATTTAGTATTCAAATTATAAATACTCAATTATTGCACCAAGCTGAATGCTAAATATATTCTAAAAATCATTATCTGTTATTCTAAGTGAAATGCTTTTATTCAATCCAACATGATTTTCAGAAGCAGGCTATGAATATATAACAAAGATTTCAGAGAGTGCCTCTTATAACCAATGCCTTCAGCCCTGAATATAGCCATATGTGTTCAGCATACATATGCTGTGAAATGGTTCCAACCACTCATCTGGATATACTTCAGAACAATCTAAAGCTAACCCTCACATTGCAAGACAGGAATTTCTGTTCAGGCTGAGCTGAAGAAAATTAATGCCTCATGGCAACAAAACTTTATAACCTCATAATATTAAATAAAATAAATAGTACTTTCTAACACAATTACTCTATGCTTTCCAGTATTTTCAGCTTGCCTTTCAGCTATGTGTAGCTGAAGAAAAAGAGTTTACATCTACTCAGTGTCACTTTATATAAGTGAATGTATGTTCTGCTGAAGGTTTCTGCTTCATATTAGAATTTCTGGTTTGTTTCTGAAAAGTTGTTATTCATTATTTTGTAGCATTTTGAAAAATACTTTCAGGCTTTTGGAAAACATTTTGGAAAATGTTTTCAGGCTGCAGTACTTTTACTCTGCTTCAGTGAGTAAAGGAGGACTAGAATGTCCTTTTATTGCATTAGTGAATCAGCACATGTCTAACAAGTTGTACCGTATGCAGGCAGTGTGTTACCGAGAAAATGTTCCTTTTGTCCTGATTAACTGCAAATGGAGGTTTCAGAGTTAGTTTTCTTTTCTTGCTCATTCTTGGTAAGCTTTGCAAAAGGCTAGTGCTGTCTTTCTTGGCAGCAGCCACTGCTTGATGCCCGGAAACGGAGAGTCTCAGAAACTCACCTCATGGGTGAAGAACAACCTAATAGTCCTGTTAAAGGACTCCACATTATTCTGTAGGTCACACATGACTTTCCTTCAGAAAGTCAGAATCTTCAAAGGAAAACTAGTTTGCTGAAGGGAAAACATATTCTCTTGGCTTCTGTGGCTTCTCCACTGCTTTAACTGATGGAGAAATTTTGAAGACTTTATTATCAATTTTAGAATCATAAAATAGAATCATAGAGTGGTTTGGCTTGGAAGGGACCATAAAGATCAACTAGCTCCAAATCCCTGCCATGGACAGAGACACCTCCCACTAGACTAGGTTGCTGAGAGCCCCATCCAACCTAGCCTTGAGCACTGTCAGGATCGGGGCATTCACAGCTTCTCTGGGCAACCTTTTTCAGTGCCTCACAGTAAAAAATTTCTTCCTAATATCTAATCTAAATCTACTTTCTTTCAGTTTGAAGCCATTGCCCCTTGTTCTGTCACTACAGTTCTTGATGAAGCATCCCTCTCCAGCTTCCCTGTATTGAATTTCATGAGGTTTGCATCAGCCCACCTCTCAAGCGTGTCAAGGTCCCTCTGGAAGGCATAACCCTACAATCTGTGGAGCATCTAGGCTCTTTATATTACTCAGCTATATAATAAACACTACAATGAACCTGGTAGTAAGGAAATAGTAGGAGTTTCCTTTGTAAAGAAAAGGCAGAGCGATGCTAAATTTCCTCTTCTTGTTTATAAGTGAGTGAGAACTGGCTTCTTCAGCATCCCATCCTGCTCAAATAATAAACCACCTATTTACATAACGCTGTATATACCTTAATATAAGCAATGACTAAGACAGGGAAACACTGATTGCAAGCTGCCACTAACCCCTACTGTGTTCTCTTTCCAAGTTACTCTAAAAACATGTTTCTGCTTTATCATCTGGTAATTACACTTCCTAATAAACACAGAGCATCCTTCCTTCAGGTCTGTTAAAGGGCTGAATAATAAGCCCTGGCAAGGCATTTACATGAAGGACAGCTGGAGCCGGTTGCCAGGGGAGCTGAGAATTGTCCAGACACACTCGCTGTTGGGCGGATATGGCTCGGGATAGCCAGGGCTGTTGAAAGATCCTCTGTCCATGTGGAAAGTACCCCCACAGGCTGCAAAAAGAAAGAGACAGCAGAGACTTGGAAAAGATGGCATAAAAAAACCCAGCAAAAAGCCTTGATAGAGCCAGAGCATTTGCTAATAAAGAAAGCATTTCTCCTTGTCTCTTTGTTCTTCAGCTTGTTGATATACTTGCTGAGACCTTGGCCAAAAAGGGGAAGGGCAATGGGGGGACTTAAAAAACAGAATGTCAGAAAGACAAAGAGGTAAAGGATCTGCTCTTTTTCTTAAAAGTCAGAGGCATAAGGGCTGTTATATGGACTTACATGATGATGATGCAGCATAGGTGGCGTGGAAGCCCCTGGCAGTAACGTTGTTGTTGGAGATGAAGTTCACCACCAAGGCATTACCAAAAGAAGTGATAGGATGTGGTATAGTAGTGCCACAGTAACGGCCTGAAAGAGAACAAGCCAGAGAGAAAAAAAAAAAGGAGTAATTATAGCATGTAATTACAGCATGTAATTACTACTGTTAATTTAATATTTGGGTTAATGCTGACAACAAACAGGAGTAACATTTGTTGCTTACAATTGCAGTTCCCAATTCAATCTACATGAAAATAAAATACTCCTTTTCATTTGCATGGAACTCAACTCTGGTGGCAATTTTTTTTTTAGCAGAGGAAGGACCTCCTGCACTCCAGATATCCTAGTCACTATCTGTTCTGTCATTGAGCTCCTTTGTGTTGCCTCTAGCCAGAAATTACAGCCTAATCAGAAAAAAATACAACCAAAAACAACCAAACCCATCAAATATATCTGACAGCAGTTTCCATTTCACTCAGTTGGTTTCTGATGAAAAAAAAACAAGTGAAAAATAACAGATCAGTTCTCCTGTAATGGATTGTAGCAATGGGGATTAGGAATAGGAATCATGATCTAGCAAAAAGGCATCTGACAGCAAAAAGAAAGATAGCATCTAGTAACATAGAGTCATAGAATAGTTTGGGTTGGAAGGGACTTTTAAAGGTCATCAAGTCCAGCCCTCCTGCAATGAGTAGGGATATCTTTAACTAGATTAGCCTGCTCGGAGCCTCATCCAACCTGACCTTGAATGTTTCCAGGAATGGGGCATCTACCACCTCTCTGGGAAATCTGTTCAGCATGTCACCACCCTCCCTGTAAAAAAATTTTTCCTTATATTTAGTTTAAATCTACCCTCTTTTAGTTTAAAAGCATTACCCCTTGTCCAATCACAATAGGCCCTGCTAAAAAGTTTTTCCTCATCTTTCTTAGATGTCCCTTTAGGATTGAAAAATCCTTTAGCCAAATGAAAGCCAAGGATAGACTAAAAAATTAATTCTGCTCTTAGTTATAAAATATTTAAATTGAGTGCAGCCCTACCCCTCATAGAGGCATATACAAAAGTAGATAAAGGAGAACAGAATCAGACAGAGATATTCTGAATTTTCCATAAAGGAATTTGAGGCAACCCTGGACATGCAAGGAGAGTCAGGATCACCCTTTGTCTGGGGGTCTCTCATGGCTTCCTGGCAGCATAGGCAACGAATTTTGCTGCTCCAGGCTACTCCTGCCACTTGCTGGTGATGGCTCTGAACAGATGTGTCAGAAGCAAGCTGCAAAAAAAAGTCAGAAAAGAGCAGAAAAATCAGGCTTTCCAGGGCTTGAGGAAAAACCATTTTCTGCTCCCAGAAATCTGCAGCTTTCTTGACATATATTTAGCATGAACTGTGCTTATGAGTGTGGGTTACGTTGTGTTTTGTATAGTTAACTTGGAATTCAGTTTAAACTGAATTGTTTGGTTCCCAATATTGTTCAGCTGAAGAGGAAGGAAAAGGCAGCTGGAGTCAACCCCAAACTGCAGGTTAGTAGAAATACAGCCAGAGCCTGGGAGGACTGTGCCATTCATACTGAAAACTTATCCTCCATTCTTGGTTTTCTCTGGCCAGAGTGGCCAAGGAGCTTCTGTTATCAGAGAAAATCCATGAAGCAGGAGGCCACACGCAGAAAACCTTTTCCTGCTTACCTTGGGTGTAGTTCTACATATGAAATACACAAGGGAAAGGTGCAATACCTTGCAGAGGAGCCTCATAGTTATCCCCATCCAAAATCTCCACAAAATCCGTTGTACAGTTTCGTCTATTGTTTTCAATATCAAAGTCAATGAAAGAGAGGGTGACGTGGTTGACTGGCGAAAGAGTAAAAACTTAGAAGTTGTAATTTCACAGAGAAATAATTACATGTAAACACAGGTATCATTTTTTCTTTTTTCCCTTGAGATCAATCAGTCCCTATAAAGCATAACATCTGAAGTAGTTTTTTCCACAATATGTTGAATGAATTTGACGGAAGTACATTAACCTTTACTGCAAAGGTCCTGGTAAATCATTTCACCTTTCAGTACCTTCTAGTACAGACAACATTAGAAGCATAGGATTTAACACATACACACGAATGTAAGTTTCCTGGTATCTGAACAGCTTCATTATATACTGAAAGCATCAGCAAAGAAAACATGGGAAATCTACACATGTTCAGAAACAAAACTTATTTCTACACATCCATGACCTTCTGTCCCTTTGTGATCTATACCATAGATCCGGACAAAATGTGAACTGTCTCTGCCCTGCTCCAGGCTTAGAAAGAGACAGTTCTTTCATTGTATTGTAACATTCCATATTCATCAATTGGACTGGTCAAAGGATCATTAACTACCCTCAGCTATACTTGTACAGAATTGGATTTTCCACACTCTTGGACTGCAGGCTACATTCTGAAAAAGAGAATTTCTGACTCAGGGTATTTTTGACCCTCATTTGGCTCTTGCTTGCCTGATATGAACAAAGGTAATCACAACTGGCAGAAGAGAAGCTGTCTCACAGACACCAGTCTGTGACAGTAGTTAGTCCTGGCCTTGGAGCTCCTATGCAGTTTGAGTGGGTCAGAAGGAGTCTCACAATTTAGATGACAACTAAGTTTTCTCCCACGTTGACCAAGCTGAATTTGACACAAATATTTTGCTTCTCACCAGGCCACACTTAATTGGCAAGAATAAGCTGCAGTGACAGACACGGACCCTGGCGCTGCATCCAGCAGGGTGCCACTGACTGGCATTCAGCTGCATACGCATGTTCCGCGCTCTTTTGTGTCCTGTCTGGTCAATCAATTACAGCTATCAATGCCAGTCCTCAGGATACAGAGCAAAAAGGAAAAACACAGTGGGTGGCCAGGGCAGGAGACTTGTTGGCCTTCTCGGTAAAAGCAGAGCAGGAGCTCTGCTGTGTCTTGCCATTGGCTAAATCTATTGTATATGGTTATGCAACGCAATGCATGCACACCGTTTGTGTCTGTAGTGCTGTGGGACGGCAAAATAAAGCCACGTGTAGCTCTAACACGTGACATGTGGTGGTCCTGGTGGTAAGTGGAGAAAGTTACTACTTCTTCTACAGCATTTTTCTGGTCTTTCATATTGATATAATTCAGGAGACAACAGTTATGTATGAGTTTTCAACCTTGTCCAGGAAAAGACTGTCTTTAGAAATAAACGTTGTATAGGTGAGGAGCTTTGATGATGTCCATTTCACATATCTGTATATGAAACTATGCTAAACAAAAAAGGTATTTTTTTTGTCTCCTGCTTTGTGTTCTGGTGTCTTCTTTGTCAAATTGATTTTCATTTTATAAATTAGCAAAATAAGCTTATAAATGTGATTGGAACATTCTACGTTTTTAACAACTCTGGCTAAATATCAGATGCACAGCTGAAGTAGGATAGTTCCTATTAAAAATACAGATACCATGATACTATTACAGGATTTAACACATATATATATTTTTTTTTTGGAATCTTATAAATGCAAAGGTAATAGTGGGTACTAAAGGTAATACCAGTATCTGATGAAAAATATTTGGTCTTTTATGATCAATCACAAATCTGTGTAAAATTAGGAATAGCTGAGAGTGTATCTATGCACATAAGACCGGTTTATTTATATAGTTTTGTTTGCATTTGAAATTGAAATTCTTCTGTACCTTTTCTCATTATTGAATCTCTTTTTTTTATGTTAACAGCACAGATTTCATGTAACACAACTTTAGTCTGAAAAATCCAGACCAAAATAATGTCAGCTAAATACAAGTGCTTTAATTATATATAAACCCTTAGATTTTCTCACAGATGAATCCAACTCCACGTAGTATTCAACACCTCATTTATAATTGTAACACTTGGGTCACAGTAAATGGGCTAAGATGACAAAGTTGTAAACTGTTTTCCTCACTATGCACTAAATCTTTTACAGTGAAGTCTGACTTGTGACAGATTAGGAAAGCCACTCTCTCCAACTACCAGGATGCAGGACTTCCTAAAGAAATAAAGGAGGAATTTTGCATTGTTATTACAGAAAAGAAGATGAGGATGTTAGTCATCCCAGCTAACTATAAAAGATGTTTTTACTTACATGGTTCCTGAGCCTGAATAATCCAGCTGCAGTTCTGATTGTTTGGGTATTTGGCAGGATACAGAGGAGAGGAAATTGCTGCCCCAACTGAATCTGACTCTATGAAACTTCCGCACGCTTTAGAATAAAACACATAGATCATATACACCCATAAATATTTACATATACAAATCACCTTTCTTAGATTCTGCAGTGCAAATGAATGCACAAACTGTAACCTGGTATATCAATGTGAAATGAGGATAAAATTCACAACAGTAATTTATCAGAAGAAGAGCTTTAAGGATTAGCTCCCAGCACTGGATGTACCAGTGCTCTGGATCCACAGTCATGCTGTACCTGCCTGAACATCTGAGAGAAGCCAGAGTGACTTGAGAATAGACCTGATAGTTTTCATCTACTCATAGCCCAGAAGAGCAATCTTGGGGCCAAAATAACTTGGTTTCAGGGTAGTGCAATACACCTATTTCACTGGTCATTTGCCTGTGTTGGACACTAGGAAGAAAAAATCATAAGTTACTCTCCGCAACCTTCCAACACCCAAGGATGGCACCACATTGCATTGGCAGGATCCTCTTGTGAGCTGTGTCAGCAAAACTGCAATTGTGTGAAGTGTAGCATATGTGCAAGAGTGTGGCTGACTGCATAACTTTGGCTGACAGTGCTGAGTGCTGCCAAGCCTCACCTCTAAGCATAGTGGCTCATTATAAAGCCCCCAGGTCTAAGTTTAACACATGACTACTTAAAACAGCAGGGTGAGGAGGTAGGTACCAAAGAGTCGGATTCACTTATTGTGCTGTGCTGTCTAAAATACCCAACAGGAGATGGGTTTTAACAGGATTTTCTCAGGAAGAGGGTAGCTGGGTTGCCAACATCCTAGGCAGGGAGCACTGGCTCACCAGGCATGGTCTGTGCAGGACTGAATCCAGTAAATGTATTCTGAGAAAGTTTAACAGATTAGGCTCTCACAGCTGTTAGTCAGAAATGCTTAATTAGGTATCTAACTAGTACCTCAATAACCGGGGTTTCTGAGATTTTTATTGATGCAAGTTCCTCCTTTTCTTTATCATTTTTCACAATATTTTCAAAGAAAGAAGCATTTCTGGGAAAACTGCTAATTTATAGTGAAAAGAATCTTGAGAAGTAAATTATTTTCTCCACAAATTTAAATGGCTGTATCTTGGAGAATAAATGTTTACCAAATTATTGTGAAAAAAAGTGAAAGAAAATCACCAGTTGTCAAATAGTATGTAATTTCATGAAAAATTCTGCCCAGCTGGTGTCATTTTTCATTAAAAAGGAAACCATGTAAAACACCAATTAGTCCTCCACAAATTGGATAGTTGATGTTTGGCAGGGTGTGCAGGCCTGAATCCATGGACTTCATCAACAGCACCACATAGAATTCTTTTATAGCTTTTCAGATTCATGCGCATGGATGGACATATAAAATGTTATTTTGTCACTAGGTCTGTGGAAACTGCCAGTTGCACATTTTTCTCAGGAAAGTTGTGGAGAGCTAACCCTCTAGGGAGAAAGAATAAGAGGTAGCTGATGTGTTCTAGATGCCTTGCCATAAAAAGTACGGGGTTTTTCCCAGTTGAAGAATCTAAGGTGATCCTTTAAATTCTTTAAACTATAATTTGGAAAAAATTGGTCCTGATAAAGATACACAGTCGTGTGCTACATATATAGAAACAGCACTTCTCATTACCAGTTGGGCTAAAAGATTGTGTCTGATACAAACACACTGGTGATTAGATAAATATGCATTAATGTAAATGATGAAATTACCTTCAGTGAAGCGAGCACTGAAGCCCCTGTGCTGGATGGTTGTATCAGAGTGCAGTCGGATGTACATCAGATTCTTGGAGGATGTGATAGGAGGAGGATGCTCTGTTCCACACAGTTTTCTAAGAAGTGGTGCTTCATTGTTAGGACCATCAAATACCTGTTACGAAAAGATCAAACGAAGTATTTGGTTTCAATGTCAGTATTAAGAAGGCTTTTATTTCATTCTCTCTCTTAGGCTTCATATATTCTGATCCTGATATAGATCAGTATGGGTGTGGGCAGCATAAACAAACTGGTATGGGCACTGGTATGGGCAGTGCAAACAAACTGCATTGCCTATCTTAACCCTGCGGCAATTTCCAAAAATGGATGTATTTCAGTCTGAAGCTACTGTGGCCTTTGTAACAGAAATGCATCAAGTAAATGTGTATCTGGTATGGAAGCATTCGTCTTTTAACAATCCACATGCCCCCATACATTTGTTGTTTCACAGAATCACAGAATATGCCAAGCTGGAAGGGACCCACAAGGGTCCAACTCCTGGCCCTGCACAGGACCATCCCCAAAAGTCATGCCATGTGACTGAGAATATCATCCAAATGCTTCTTGAACTCTGTCAGGCTTGGAGCTGTGACAACTTCTCTGGGGAACCTGTTCCAGTGCCCAACCACCCTCTGGGTGAAGAACCTTTTTTTAATATCTAACCTAAATCTCTCCTGACACAACTTAGGCCATTTCCTCAGTTTCTGTCACTGGTTTTCTGTTAATGACTAACATGAGTTCCCATGTAGCTTTTATTCAGTCAAACTCTATATCTTGCCTCAGTAAAGACTTTTAAACATGCAACTGGTGCACCAGTGAGAGCTCTGACACTGGATAAAAGATTACTAGGATTATATTTTTTACATAAATGCACTCAACATCAAGGATCAGAGTCCGTATATCTGTGTTTTATAATACCTTTAGGGTGCTGAATTACACACATATACATGAAGTGCTATTTAAGTAGAGGGGAAAGAAAAGCAAAAAAAAATAGGGAGGAAGAAAGTAAAGATGGGTTTACAAAACTTCACTTTTAATTTTACCACAAATGCCTTCCTTCTCTTTTTTGTTTTTCCCCTACTGCTTATAATTTTGCTTCCTTCCTCTCTGTTTCACAATCAGGAAGAGAAGGACAGAGAAATTAGAAGCAATGAGCTTATAGCTTAAGCAGCATCAAAATTATAAGAAAAGAAACCAGAGAGAAAGAAAAATGGCCACAGTCTCACAATCTCCCACTAGTGTTGCTTCTGTGTTTGGAGCCATGGGCCAGTCTCAGAGCTCTGGTGTCTGGTTTTAGAAGTGACAAGTGCTGGAGCCCCCAGCACAGTTGCATGACCCACAGAGGAAGAGCCTTTGGGCTACTTACTGGGCACCAACAGCAGTTGAATTCAGTTCCTGTTTCAGCATTAACGTCCTGCACTGTCACAGGCACTTCATTTAATATGACCTATGACTCAGTTGGAGAAAAATTTGGATTAAAATATGGATAGAAGTACTGGAAGATACTGAGGTGCCAGGATGTCAAAAGCTACATAAAAACTCTCTTTGAGCAAAATAATGCCATCAGATTAGAAGATATGTACTTCTTATTGTCTTCTTTTACTTCGAAGCACCTCAAATTCCAGCAAGTCTGTGCAAGGCAGCAGCAATGAATTAGAGATTTCTAACAAGAATGTATAACAGAAGGCAATGTTTCTGCCTCCAGTATTCAAAGGCCTTTAAGCATATTATTGAAAAAAATATAAAAACAGTAGGTGGGAGAAAAGTGACCTCTCTCAAATAAAACCTCAGAGCTGAGAAACAAAGGACAAAACTCTTGCTTAATCCACTGACATACCCTACATAGTCAATGCTGTACTCATGAATTAAACATTTGCTTGTGATTCTGTGAACACTAGAGACCTGTGTGAGACCTTATGACAGAGTATTAAGTGTTCTGTAATGCTTGTAAAAATGAGTACCTGGTAAAGGGACCCAAAAATATCCATCCATTCAATTTTTTCTTCTCTCTTGGCATCCTGCCACAATCAGTCCTTTAATACAGAGTGTGCAGTGTTTATTCTTCCTCTGCACATATATTTGGTATATAAATCAGACTGCCTGAAGTTAAAAACCACAAACCATGGAATGTGAAAAAAAAACTAGTGACTAACAAAATAACCCTTTGGAATGAAGGCATTGTCTTTCCCTAAACAGTAGCAAGAGGATTTTATCTGAATGCTAGAATTGAGAATAAGCATTGCACTGAGAGAGCGTAGAGAGAGGCCTGACTACAGTTCTCCTAACATGCTGGTTTTGATGGATCTGTGCGCCTCTGCCCAGCTGAGGATATGACCAGTGACACAGGGACTGTTGTGATGCTCTAGTGGTTGAGCTTTCTCACTCGTTAAGACATTAAGGGTGAGTAACATAAGAGACTAAGTAGGCATTTCATTCCAAGAGCTTTCTGGAATAAAGAAGTCTTTCTTTGGTAATACTAGGAGAGGAACATGAAGTCAGAGGGATGTTTACTATATCAAGTGTATTTGCTGTTTCTGGGCATCTTGCTTGAAGAATAGTACTGTCTCCTCTTTGAGAAACTCTGGGATTGATTCCCCGTCATTTCACTTGATACAAATCTGTCTCAAGCAACATTTGAGCATAAGCATTAGCGGGATACAGCAGCAACTCTTAGGAGTTACAGCAGCTACAAGTTAAGCAGGAACAGGAACACGTGGGTATTTTCTGGCTGCATCATTTCCGTTCACTTGTTATTTATTAATTTAAACTACTTTATAGGGACAATTTCAGGCTTAAAGTTAGAAGTTAGATCAGAAATCACAATATTTACACACTAGTTCTGGAAAGAGTTGTGTCTTTCTGCAGTTTCTTAAATTTGTTTTGATACATTCGAGAAATGCATTTTTCTGGCTTCATGAGTAAAGGAAAATTACGCATTTGCTTACTTAAAAGCCAAGTTTTCAATTTCACCATGCATAGCAGCAATTTGCTTTTCTATTCCGTTTCCACAATGAACATAACTGAGTGAATCATTGCCTTCTTCAAATGTGTCCTGAATTTTGCAAAAACACATGACAAAAGGACAACAACTTTTGTCTTCTGAGCCATAAAAACTCCACATATTTCTAGCTGTTCTCTCTCGGAAGACTCTCTCTGCCAGTACCCGGAATAAATGAAGTCATACCTCCTTTCTAGATGCCAGAAGGTTATATTTTTACATTCCTGTGTATTACTTGTTATACTGCAACAGGAAAGAAAAATAACAATTACTTAATCAAAGTCACTGGACAGAACAAACTATTTCTTCCTCCCCTTCTCAGGACCTTCTGCTACAAGCACTGCCTTCTGAGCCACATCCTCCTCAATCCTTAAATACTTGAAACTCTTGCTGACCTGCACTCCTGGCATAGCATCAGATACATTACTGGTTAAACATGGCCAAACATACAGGAATTAGGGCACTCACTATTTCTTTCCCTCTATTTTCCCTCAAAGAAAGAAATTTGTTTGTTGTGAGACACACTCTCCAGATAGAAACAGGCTAGTACACAGAAAGGAATTAAAAATTTATTCCCCATGTATGGTGACAGTGACAGCAAAAGAGTCTACTCAAAGATCTTATGCTTTCTACAGAATATTACTGAGTTGTATTCGAGATCCTTATTTAGCAGATGAAGAGGTGCTCATCTGTTATTAGAACAAATAAGGTACACAACTGGGGCACAGAAACAGAAGAATCAACAAAATTTAGGCAGCTAAGCAAATGAAGAATGTACTCCCTGTGCACTCCTTCCACTGGCTCTAGAGGGAGCTCAGGGCAGTTACCCCGTGGTGACCATCAGGGGCTCAGAATTCATTCAGTTGAACCTAGATCTGTGCTCAGATTCACACGGGAAATCACTGAGCAGAACTGAAAAATGCACTGGGCTTCTTGGACTTGCAGCATAGCCAAGAAGCAGCAGACACAAGTATTTTCCTTTCCTCCATTTTGCTCACATAACACGTGCAGTGGAAAACCTTAGAGGAAAGAAATACATTTTCATGTGTTCTCCATAGAAGAGAATTTATCATAGAAATATAAAAACAAAAAAAATCTTGAATCATAACACAGGGAAAAATGAGTGGATCTAGAAGGGGAAGGATGAAGGAAAAGACCGTTGGTACACTCAAGGGTGGAGGGAAGCCCCAAGAGAACTCATAGAGCAAATAAAATCCATAAAGATAAGTCAAAATTCAAGAAACAGAAAAGGGTGGAACCACTGTGTTACTCATACATGGTAGTTGTTCCTACATTAGGAAGAGAAAAACAACCCACCTGCTTCCTTAGCTGCCTGTATTTTCCATTTACACAGCTTTAGGAATGTAATTCCTAAATCATTCATAGTCAGACATCTACTTATACATTTCCAGTTCCTCTCTGTTCCCTCACTCTGTTTTCCTCTGTGCGAGGCATATAACAAGCCTTTGCAATGAGACGAACACAAATCACAGCTAGGTGTTGGTATCAAGTGATGTTCTTATTGGTATACTAGGAATGAAAGAAAGTTCATCTACTCCTTTCTTGCCCTGCTGATTCCTCTACATGAGCTCTGAAATGCTCTTCACTACCTCATACTCCAAAGCCTCAGAGCCCTTCATTATCTCTTCAATACAACTTCAAACCAGCGTTGTCCCTCATCAATTTTCAAACCACACTCCACTTGGTGGGCAGTGATTGATGCCCGCATTAAATTTAAATCTCCCTCCCTGTTCACATTGCTGCTTCAGTTGTGTTTGCACAGATGAGGCTGATGGGGAACTCCCTTCTTCACCACCCCCAGAAAACCAAAAAAGCAGAAGCAAACAGATAGTCCTAGAGCACTGGAGGACAAGGGGTGTCACTGCACTGCAATGGTCTGCAAACTTCATTCATAAGTGTTAGGTAAGGGGAGCTGTTTCTGTAACTGCAAGGAGCTCATGGAGCTGAGTGCTCCACAATGTGTTTAGATAGGTACACATGTCCATTGGCATCAGGTTTAAAAGAGAAACTTGTATATAAGGCCTTTTTGGAATTTAGCCCTTAACTGGTGAATGGTTCTGGGGTTGTTTTGCAGTAGTATGAGTACTGCCATTTCAGATGGCCCATGTTTCTGTCAGCCACTTTGATTTTCTACTCCTGTGTGATAGCATAGAAGACTTGAAAATTCCCTTCAATGATCCCCTGATGTAGTCAATAACGTAAATAAAAAGACATAACCATATTTCCCTATGCTTCATAACCAGAAAAAAAAAGGAAGAACAGTCATTGTACAAAGATGCTTTGTGGTCAAATGAAATCTTCGGTTCTGCTCAGCAAAATGGGGACACATTTCCTTTTTTTTCTGGTTCAGTACAAAAAAGCTTTACGAGACAATGTTGTTAAAACTGACGCCGTTTTGAAAAGAGTCTCAGTTCCTGCCAAATTGAGTTCTCTGCGAATGACAGTTTATCAAGGAGAGGAAAGCTGGATTTTGGGCTACAGCCACTGTGCTTTATCCAACTGGTACTGATTCACACATGCCTTTGTACTGAGTGAAGTGCAATCTGACATCAAAGGTCAGGACTTCATGTCTCTGCTCCCAAAAGGCCAAGTGGAGATGTGGAGGGTTCTTCGTTGTTGTACACTGATTGAGAGTCAGTTTTAATTTCTGTAGCATCAACAAAAACTCACAAACCAACAGCAATGTGAAGCTTTAAATAGAGCAGTGGCTCTAATGAAGTAATTAAACAGACAGCTGAGGAGCACCTGAATACGCAGTGCATACATAAAGAAAACCAGGCAGCCACAACTCCCTCCGGATGTAGACCTCCCTCTCTCCTGAGTTTGTAACAGAGTATGGGCAATCTGTTATATATGTCGGCAGTTCATCCTATGGCTTGGAACACGCTGTGGTAAACTGCACTATGAATAGGAAAGGGTGTCATAATAACAGCAAACTATGTATGAGGTTATTTTGCAAGCATTTCACCAGACTCTTTAGAGAACCTTTTAAAATATCTTTTGTTACTTACTTCAACATTGTCATAGTTACATGAATGGTGATTTTCAATGTCAAAATCCGTGAAATTCAATAGCACTCTGTGGCTGTAGTCAACTTGGATAACCCAAGAACAATCTGTGTTGTTATTATAAGGTTGAGGATAGTTTGGAGAATGGATTTCTCCATTGGTAGCTTGGAAAACACCACCACAACCTGAAAAAGACATGATCAATTTTAATCACAAGCTCTTCTCTTTCATGCTTAGCAAGAATTCAGCTCTATTTTTAAACTAAGAATGCCTCCTTCTTTATATTTTCTACATTAAACTTTTGTAAGATGAGTGCTACAACTGTTGAAGTGTCCTGGCTGGAACAAAAATCAATGGAAATTACTATCAGGAAAGTACAATATTATCATTATAATTGAATATGCAACAACAATACTGTGAAGTAGTTTCTCTCTAGCCCCAGGCTGGTAGTAGATATTGCAAAGGCTGAAGCATTAGTGCTGGTATTTCTTTACCCTAGATACTGCAAAAGCAATCCAAAATACCATTCATTTGAACACCACAGACCCGGCATACTGAGAAAGCAATGACTATTCCTAGCTGAGCATACAGTGAGAAAAATACTTCTATACCAAGACAGCTGAGAGCTGGTCACTGCTCATGAGCAGTAGAGTAATTGCAAGCCTCAAGTTTCTACATGTGTACCCATGAAGCTGAGGGTTTACTGAAGATTCCACCCTCAGATATTTCTGACCAGAATAACTCTGGTGCTCTTGAATAACTAAATAGCCTGGAATGATGGATCCTGTATGGAAAGTACACGACTAACGCAAGCAAATGGACTTTTATAATATTGTAAAGGGATGGAGGAGGGAGAGGGAAACATATTGGGATTGCTGTAGATGGAGGCAGCCTGCTGGAAGAATAAAAGACCATACTGTTATTGCGTTCTAGTGAGTGGGTATTTTAGAGGCTAGAGGGGGGTGGAAGTACAAGAGGCAAGACGTTGTAAAGGGATGAGAAAGCTTCAGGGGGCCTAAGTAATAAAAATAAGCTGCTAGATCTTGGAAGGGGATTAATTCAAAGGACTATTGTAGAGTACTTTTATTAAAAAAAAATCTTGTGCCTTTCTCATAAAACTTGTGAGAGATGAGAAGTATAAACCTTGACAAATTAATGAATCAGTGTGCTTAATCAAGCAAAACTTCAAGAATTAAAATCTGCCTCTCCTCACTTTTCATTGCAATTATTTTCCAATAATTGGCCTTAACATAAGAATTCATTCAACATGTGGTTGAATCTTTTAAGCCTGTCTTTTTTACTGATTACCAGTAAGGCTATGAACAATCACATGGGGTGTAGATGAACCTTATAGAGTTCAAGTATTTACTAATCATGCCAAATATTTTTGGAGTCCACCGAGTTCACCAAGGTAAGCCACATTCTCAGATATCTTTCACTTTACTGTTTAAAACCAAAAACATCATTCAGCTAATAAAGGACTCTGTATGGGTAAGTGGGTGGGAAGAACTGGTAGCATGCAAATGTCTTTTTTTGATTACAGGAATATCTTGATTAATTTTGTAGAGAAGAAACTCACAAAAAATACATAAATAGGCCTAGATTTCAGCTAGTTAGACAATTTTTTCTTCTGTGTGTCTTTCAACATCTCCTACTCTTACCAAATCTAGTAACACCCACATCCTCCTTCAGCTTTCAGTCCTATGCTGTTTGACTGAGTGCTTGCATGGCTGATCCTCGATTCTCTGACTTCCTGACTTTCTCAAGGTATTAATCAGTATACTCACCACCTGGATTTTCTTGCCAGGAGGCATTAAAACCTCTCCTTGTCACTGCTGCATCTGTCTTGAAACGGACAATGGCCGAATTGCCGGTGGTAGAGACTCGCAGTGGGTTTTGTGCTGATCTTGAAACACACAGCTGGGCCAGCCTAGGAGAGAGGAAATCTGGGCCACCATAGACCTAAAAATGGAAGAAATACTGTCAAAGTTTTCCAAAGAGACCGTTTGCCATACAGAGTATATGAAAACTGTTTAGCTAGAAGGAAAAAAGCAACCCAATCTATAAGTATTGATTAGACATTTTTAAATGTAAAGCAGATAATAGAGTTATTTTCTCTGCAGGTTTACTTGGTATCGGAACCAACTGATTGAACCAAGTATGAAATGCTAGATGATTTCAGAATAGTCTTGCATTAAATAGAAGTTTCTGTTTGGGGACTGGGCTACATTCCTCTTCCCCTTACCTTCAGGATTAGCACCTTGTTTCTGTGGGCATGTAAATGCAGATTTTTTTTGCATGCTTGTGCAAACAAACTCCTTCTCTTCACAGGAATCTGTGCTGATGTTTTGCTGATGATGTTCAGAGACATTACTAAGGATGATTATTATATTGGGGCTAGATTTCATCATTCCTTCTGATAAAACAAAAAAAATTGCAATTTTGTTGACTTCAAGGGCAGCATAAACATCCAAATGATGGGATTTTGGTCAAGTAAACTACATTTTAATAATACTCTTTGGAAGCAAGGATATATATCATATATATTTGCCACAGAAGACAAGTTTTGACTTCAAAGAGTAATTATTTCCTACTCAGAAGAGACTGCCCCAGAAAACCATCTCTCTCTTAAGCATCATCAGCAGTATTGTGTACTTATAATGCATTTTTAAACCAAATGAAGTGAATGAGGTGGCAGTGCTGAAGGATTGTTAATTCTGTTTCTTGTTTTCCCAGAAGGGATGTAGGATTTCAGTTTGAGCCCATTTATAACTCGTGGAACTGGCTCAGCTTCCCTAGTCTTCTGCCTCAAAGCAGAAGAAAACACACATGCTCAGTGCCATTTCCAAATCCAGACACGTGATTTTGGTGCTAAAAGCCCTCAATGATTGAATTTTCCTGGCTTCCTGCATGCAAATTAAATGCCACCTGATACTAAGAGTCTACTACCTTCCATTTGTATGTCCCTGGTAGGGCAGCAGCTGCAAAAGGCACCTTGACAGTAACCTCAAATGTGAAAACTAGGAAAGAGATACACTAAATTAATTGTGCCGCTGTCTTTCAGCAATTGAACTAGTAATGGAAAGATTCTCACTGTATAAGCATATATTATGTATAAATCCTAAAGCTAAACTAGAGAACAGCAAGTTCTAACAAAAAAACCCCACTACCCAACCCAAAACAAAAAACCCCAAACAAACAAACAAACAAACAAAACCACCCAAAACCCCCCCAAAAAGCAGAGAACAGGAATATAAGGCAACAAAACCCATCAGAATTTTCCAACCAGTAGCATCTCAAGTCTGCTCCAATATTTTATTAGTCTGGTAAACATCAAAAAGGTCAAAAGAAGCAATCCATGAATCTCTCCTTAAAAGCGACAGTACTGTAAGAAACAGCTTTCTCTGTGACCCTTTTTCCTCTGATCACTTTTAGATGAGGGAAAACTCAATATTTTAATAAGCTCTGTCAGATACTTTTTATCCCCAGAAGAAGTTTGGGTTCTGTACAAGCTAAATATCTGAGCAAGTCTAACAAAGAGCTGAGTTAGTCCCCCCACCTCCAGGGCTGAGTGTAGTGCATTGTTACATAATTTGATTAACTGTATGCTCACTACCTGCTCACAGGGCCTGACACTGCTCTGATGTTAGAGTTTTAAGAGAAAAAAATTGGGTTTTAACTGGAAAAATTATTCAGAGACTTCAGATTAATGTGAGATCTCAGAAACTGAATCTTGCATCCCCAGAAGAAATAAGGAATTGATTTTTTTATAAACATCATAGTCTGTTCAGTGTTCCAAAGACTGCATTTTGCTGATAACACAGCCTTAATAACTTAAACATATTTATTTTGACTGAGACAGCACTTTTTTGCATTCTGCAGAGAGGCTGCCTGACTTGAATAGATAATGGCTCCTCTGTCCAATCGATCGTCTCAGGGCATTCAAGAGAAGTCAGTATGGATGAAATCGCAGCTCAGATTCAGAATCTGTAATGAAGCTGTCACAGTCTGAGGAAGAAGCCTGTTTGTCCACTGGAAGCTCAGTGTCTTCAGAAAAATCTTACTGCTTGGCTGCCCAGTGACAGCTGCATTTGTCAGAAGTCTGTTCAAAATGTGAATTTTAAAATGTGTTTGTGGTATATTCCCTGAGTAAGAGCCACAGCATGAGATTTAGCTGGAACACATGCTCTTAATCATCTAAACCAGCCTAGGGAAGCTATGTGACAGAGGAAACAGCAGGAGTTTCTAACATGCATCTAATAAGCCTCATGGACCAGCCTCTCACATCATCCCTGGTGCTCTGTGGGGCCATCTGCACACCATGGACAAGGGAACCAAACCCAGCTCTGACATAAGCCCTGCTGATTTCTGTAGCATTACCTCAGAAATTACCTTGGCCTGAGCTGAACATTTAGAATTGACCTTTTGGGAAGGAATTAAGGATGGGGAAGAAATATTGATGGAAATCTGAGGTTTGTGGGTCTCGTTTACATTGTTAACTGTTCAGCAACAGCTTTCTGCACAGTTTCAAAATAAAAAGCAGTCAGAGGCATGCTCTTTGCAGTTAGGAGTGTATTTTCTTTTCTCCTTTAGGCCAGTTCAATTAATCAGATGCTTTCACAAGGGCTGGAACAAAAACAAATTCAAGTGTTTCCATGACAAAAAACAATAAAATATTATATTTGGCTCCAAAGAGGAAAACCAATAGTTACCACATGAAAAAAAAAAAAGAGGGAAAAGAGAATGGATGGAAAGAATGAATTCAAGGGTGTGGTTCACAAAGAGTCATAGGATGTCTGAGCTGAAAAAAAACAAAAATAAAAATAAAAACAAAACCAGCTAGTCTGACCAGAGTACCTGATCCAGAGATAAAGTGGTATTGGATGGCATAACAGTGGTGCAGGACACTGACGTAAAGCCCATGGTTTTAATCTGTTCTTATCATTTGCTTCTGCCCCGTTAGCTCCATTTATTGTTAACAGTCAGCATTCCAGAGTTATGAGCAACAGAAAGCTGTTTTTATGTGGTTGGTCACCCTCATGACACAGATTTTCTGGGAATAACACTGATCCCCGTTCAGATATAACTTCCAGCAAAGAGAGAGCGTGGCTTTGACAAAGAATCAAGAACTTGGGTAATATTTGGTGTTTCTTTATATTTAAATGAGAAGACCAAAGAATCTAATAAAGACTTGGAAGTGCAATAGATTGAGAGTGTTCCTTCCTTTTCAGCTCAGAGCTACATCTTGGTGAGACAGATATATTTATTACAATCTGGTCTGTACTAAGGAGAAGGTGTCATAATTTAACAAAGCAGACATGGTAATTTTCCTCTATGTGTGTATTTTCAATAGAAGCCATTACAAAAATTATTTAACTCTTTCATTGTGTCCAAAATAATGGCTCCTATTTCCATGAAACATTTATAGGAAACATCTTTATGAACAACTTAAAATTTGCTTCTGGATGTTAATAAAAAGAAGGGAATTTGATGAGGAAGAAAAAAAGACAATGCAACAGCATCATAAAAGAAACAGGGAGAAAGATTAAAGGAGAATGTATCAAACACTTGAGCCATGGGGATAACTTGAGGTTTTCACATAAAAAAAAATATTCAGCAGTCTTGGTGAAACATACAGCAGTTCTGAGATACTGACATGGAAAGGACAGCTTGTTTAAGAGGCATTGTCAAAGGAAAGGGAAGGGAGATGCTGCATTTTACAAAAACAAGTATGCTTCAGACAAATGTGCAAGAGAGAAATGTTCAAGAAATTATGGTATAAAAATGAAGTTAGCAGGAAAGTGGCTGCAGTGGGAAAGATCTCTTAGAATTTTTGTACAATTCTCTGACAGCTCAAAAGGATGAGGGTGTTTCTAACCAAAAGCTAAATGCATCCATAAGAGCAAGTTTTGTGATTACTGGGAAATATTTATTACAAGATGGCTTATTTCAGGTAGTAGAGAGAGTTAATGGGACATGGAGAGACAGCAGACTGCAGAGCTACTTTTGTACTGATTTTGACTTTCTATTACAACTGGAAAGTTGTTTGACTTGAAAGAAAGCAGGAAGCGGTAGAACTACTCAGAGATAAGGAAAAAGTGAAATTGGAACAATAACTATGAGAAAAATCAGACTTCCAAATCCAAAGAACTGGTAGACAGGATATTCTTGGGAAGATAATGTGAGACTGAAAGACATTTGGAACCTTAGTGATCACTGAAACACACTGTATCAAAAGCACATTAGGAACCTCTTTTTTTCTAACACTTTGCAAATATGTGTGTGTGGTTTTCAGCTTGGACTTATGTAGACAACTACAGGAAAGAAGATGACAAGATAAAGCAGCTTCTGAAAATGGTTAACCCTAAATCTGAGTCATCATTTGTCCTGTGCAGACTGTGTCAATCCTGCTGTGAACGTGTAATTTTATAATAAAAGAAGAAAATATGCATGTGGAAAGGTACATAAAGCTCCACCAAGTGCCTTCAGTTTGGCAGGGCAAGCTCTACACTGCCAGGCAGGACCTTTGATCCTGCACTAAGGAATGAACTCATTTTCCCCAGTAAGCTGATTTACAGTAGGTTATCTGTCAGCAGATCAGAGCCAGGTGTTGGGAACCAAATGAACCAAAGTCAGGAGACAAGTAACTCAGAGGCATGCCAATTCTGAGGGCAGGAAGGCAGAGGAGCTCAAACAGCAAGGTGGGTGTCTGTGCAGATGAATGAGTAAGGTTGGGAAGAAGCAAAGCATAGCAACTAGGCTTCAAATGGTAAAGAAAGAAAACCTATGACCTAAGGTGAATACCTTGCTTGGGGACACATAGCAGAAAACTGCAGGATCCTCTTAATCAGCTTCTTAAAGCAGTTTGTGTCCAGCAACGCACTCAGTTGGTTTTAGGCCAGCCCTCCCTCTCCGGTCAAAGAGTTGTCAAACAAATGGTTGCCAGCCATCTGTACTCTTACTGGATCATGATAGCTCCTAGATGACAATCTGCAGATGTGGGCATTGTTCTGGGACTATTCAAGAAGTGGTCATGCACAGCAGACTTAGATTGCTGTTTAATGGATTCCTCTGGTCAACAGAGACACAACTGAAGCCTACAGGCAGAATAACTTCAATCTAATAACTCTGGGAACAAACAACAATGAAGATGCAATACAACAGACTTCATCAATACCCAAACCAGAAAATACAGGTCACCTCCCAGTCCCTGGTGTCAGCAATGTGACATACAGCCATACTTGCCAATGCTATTCATGGACCAACTTCCTTACACCCACATCCTACAGAAATCCCAAAGTCAGTAGGATACTCAAAGCACAGTGTCCATTTGGTCAAGACTTCCACTGCATTGCTAAGCTAGAGAAGCCTGTTTTAGAGCCAGAAAGCTGGAGTTAAGCTATACATCTCTTCGACTCATACAAATGTTTAGCTATCTATCTATCTATCTAGAAGCTGTATATTCAGGACCTGCCTTAGGATGTGGGTTAAGTTTTCCATGAACAATGCTGCTTAGTGTGCACTAAGTAACACAGGCTGGAGAAATCAAAGCTACTAATGTGGGAATGGGCAGCAGTGAGGAGGTACGGCTGCTGGACAGAAAGCTATCTAACTCTATGCTGGTGACACATCCCATCACCAGGAAAAGAGCAGAAGAAAGACTCCAGCAGAATGGTACACGATCTCTTAATCTTTTGGGTTCATTATAAAAACTTTAAAATGTCACCCATGAATTAACATTGATAAAACTCCCAACAACTCTACTTGCATTAGTGATCTCAAATGTCTCTAGTGAGAACAATCTAGAAAATCTGTAATTCTAAAGAGTTTCTTCCTGAAATTACTTCCTATCCCTTCTTCCTGCACTGAAAGTGTATTCAACTCCATTAGTTGAGATTGGTCACCTATCTGCTTCCCAACATGAGCAAAAAGATGTCATACATAACAGGGTCATCCAGTCTTATGGGGCCCTTACAGTTCAGTACACCCTTAGAGAGGTACCTTTTCTCCTTGTTCCACCACCCTAACATGACTAGGACACTTCCTCTTCTTTTACTCTTTTTTTCTGAGTACAAAGATTCTTCATAGTTTTCATCACTCAAGGTTATAAATATTACCATTTCCTTGGAAGATCCTACACAAAGTCTCACCTTAGTTATCCACACAGCGATCCATTATCTTCCTTTACATCGGGAAATTGTCTCCATGGCACAGCACCCTACACTTAATTCGTTGTAAAAGATGGACTTTTTAAGACTGTTTCAAAACAGTTTTGTCTCTTGTTAGGAAGAGTACAGTGCCTAGCATCATTATTGATTATGATATACAGACACCAAAGACATAAAAGCAAGAAATAATAAGAGCATTGTGGCTTCTGTGACAATACCTGTGAAACTTAACTAACCACAGTAGAAATGGGAAGCCACAGTAGAATTGTTTGTTCTGTTCCTGCAGTTCTTGGGATTATCTGTTCCAGACAGAAATCCATGTAACTTGTGTATTTTAGAGGAGTAAATATAATGCTCTTACCTCCAAAACATCATAGTTGCAGTTTGGGTGATATTCAATGTCGAATTCCTGAATGGTGAGTTGAATGCTGCTGCCAGGTGCTGTGTGGATATACCAGATGCATTCCCTGTTGCTTGGGTATCTGCTGGGGTAGCCAGGGCTGTGAAATGAACCAGAAGGGCCAGAGAGTTCTCCTCCACAGCCTGACAACACAGCAAAGCAGCCTGTCAGTGAGGAGCTCTGGAATAAGGACAGGTAGTAGCATCCATTCCATAGACAAATGTGTATTCTGGGCTGGAGGGTCTGATCTATCATAGGGAACCCAGGAAAAGAATGGCAGGCTAGCCCTGTTTGCGCTGCCTATGCAGTAAGTACTTCGCCTCCTGTTTGGGTATGTTTTATACCACACCTCAGCATCTGCTTTGACAGCTGAACAAATTGAGACACAGAGCACAAGAAGTGACATTTTTTTGTATTGGCCTTGAACTTTATCAGTTCTAGAAAGCTGAATCAGATCCGTCCTCAGCTCTTACTTAGTTCAATTAATACACAAGTTAAGTTATCATGGAGAAGGCTTCCTATTGTTGTAAAAATGCATTTCCCACTGCTTTAGAAATCATAAAATTAAAGACAATACAATTTCCCTCAGCCTACTGAGCATGATTACAAGCTGCCAAGTCACAGTGGATAAACTGGCTTTCTGACACTTGGTGGGTGTAATGTTCTTTTTTTTCTTCAATTCAACTGGAACTGTGCAATCGTTAAGACAAGCCGTGTTTGAAAAGCTACATATTTTTATTTTCAGATAAGAAATTACTTCCTAACATCACTCCCCAGCCCCCTGGGTGACTAAGTTCTTGCATATCATGAGCTAGATTGAAAAAAAAGAAAAGCAGCAAAGCAATGGATCAAATGCAGGCCCTGATTTGACAGCACAAAGCAGCTGAACATCTGAGACTACAGTTTCACCATTGCTTTATGGAAATGTTGTAAGTGCAGCACCAGCCTCCTGAAGATGCTATCCCTGACTCAGTCCCCAAGTGCAGGCATCAGCAGGGTGGGAAAGCACAGCAGCCCTCCCAGTGTCAGAGAAGACTTAGATCAGCTACATTCATGGCAAAACTTCACCTGTGGAGAAGCCAAGAGGGTGGCTGTGTATCTGTCACATGCAAAAAGTGTTTGATCTGGTTTTACAAGTGTGTTGCTCTGCCTTGCAGCACCATTTTTTTCTTCTCTAAATTACAAGCCCCCAGGTTTAGGCACTATCTTTTGCTCACACAGCTTTTATAGGGTCACTCGAGCTTTGCAAGTAATGCCCACACTCCATCAATCTCTCTGGCTTCATCTCCAGAGGGAAGGTTCTGTCACATGCAAAAAAGCCCAAAAATACTTAATAAAGCCATCTAACAAACCATGAGCTCTATATGTCCAGAGGTAAATACTGCAGTATGTCAGAAGTGATAAATAGCGTTTGTACCAGAACCATTATTTATAGGACATATTTTATAACATAAAACAAATAAATTACCCCTTTGACCTGCTCAACTAATCCACACATATATGCAAAACTCATCTAATCTCTTCTAAGTCTAAGAATAATTTGCAACTTGAACAAGGTATCTTTGGTCATTGCTCTGCCTATTGCTTTCTTTTTTATTTCAGGAAGCTATAGATCAAGATCTTTAGTTAAATGCAAATTCTTTCCTTAACACCTTCTGTGACTGCTAAGTCCCAGAAGCATTTGCCATCATCTCTATCATGGGGTCTTTCAGGTCCTTACTGAAAACTTGGGTTTGGCTTTATCACAGTTGGCTACTGGACTACAAAATAAAAATATATGAGGGGAAAGAGCAGCAGGTCTGAAAGGGATCAAAGTAATAAGAAGCTATTTTAAGCTAAAAAAGAGATGTCCAAATACAGATGTGAAGAAGACCCCAGCCATGCCAGCAATGTAACACTGATCTCTGTCAGTCCATCACCCAGTACTCACTGGAAAACCACCTTTTAAACAGAATAGCTCTCACAGCTGAACAATAGTTAGCTATAACCCAGGAAAATCTTTACATAGCTGAACTGGACCTCACTGGTGAATTGGTACAGGCTTAGTTCTTCTCCTTTTCCCCACCTCACTGCAGTCTGATGTGGTTTGCCCTGCAGCCACAAAGTTAAACTGTCAAGCTACTGGGTGTCTCAATCTAGGAGCTAAAGAAGATTTAAAGTGTATTTCAAACCAATCCTGCCTTCAGTCCCTAGGAGAGACACAGAACAAGGCAGTGCACTTCCTTCCCTGAGGCCTGCCAGCACTGAAAAATGTTAAGTCCCTGAAACTTTGATATCCATGAACATTTCATCAGAGAGATGGAGAGGAAGAAAGCTCAGTGTAACCCACCACCCCTTTCTCCCCCAGTGCCATTAGAAGATGGACTAATTTTTCTCAAAAGAAATCAGGTTGTTGAGGTTTTATAACTGGAGAAAGAAAGGAGTCAGCAGCAGAGGAGCTCTACAGTGGAACTTCCAGGTGAGTTACTCGCTTTCTTTCCCCTCACCAGACGGATTTACACAGCTACTTAGGACAGATTTCAGGAGGAAAAAGCTGCTTTGCCAGCTTGGAAAACAGAATGATTTTTCAACAAACAGACTTGATGTCTCTGCTCCTGAGGGGGTGGGAACAGGGAGGCAGGGGAGTTTCAGCAGGCGAGAACAAAGCCAATCGCTGTTTATCTCAGCCTGAAGAAAGCTGGGAACATTTTAAAACTAAACAGGCAGTTATGACTCAGCTTCTCCTACTAACAGTTTCCTGATAGCCACAAAAGACATGTTTTTTATTTAAAGTCGAAATGGCTCTGATGAGTGGAAAGCTTGTGTGCTGTGCTTTGAGACACAGACCTTTCTTCCTTGTGAATTGTAGGTAGCATTCAGATTACTCACACGCCCTCTCCAGAGAGGTTTATATTTTCTCTGAGCTCAATCAATATTCTCTAGATGAGGTATGTGAAGCACATGAGTAAGAAGGTCAAACTGTTTTTAAAGTCCCGTTTCTTTTCTTCCAACTACATATGTTCCCAGAAAAGGCTTTTTGTTAAAATGAAGTGATTCTTCTTAAGTGCTCCAATAAAATGATGGTAAAGTTTAGGTCTCTGTGATTCATTTCTTATAATGAATGTGTGGAACTCATGTTGCCAATCATTTATTAATTGTTTGCAAACAGATCAGAATTGCTTGAGTTTATGCCTAAGTGTTCACTGACAAATAGCTGAAAAAAGAACTCACTGATCTTTGCAAATATGTGAACTTCACATCTGAATTGTTTTGACTAAAGTGCATATGCCAGTAGAAACCTCCACATCAGAGCAGAAGCACAATCTCTGAACCTCTGGCCAGCTGGCAGAAAGTCTATATATTACATTTCCTCATATGGATGAGGTAAGAATCAGTTCTGTTGTGCTTTTCTGAAAATACAGATAGTGAATTTTAACAAAGTATTTACAGAAACACTTGGGGGATTAAAAAAAGTGTTCCTACCTTTAAATTTACTAGCTACATTGCAACACTAAAATAAGAAAACAAAAATAATAATAGAATAACTTTCTGAAATGCTTAAAAAACTTTGATTCATTACATGAATATAAACCTTCTCCCAACTCTCCCAATGTTTATATTTGTCTGCAAACATCAGATAAGATTTTGCTTCAATTCAAATAAATGGAACTTGTGCTGTTTATGGCAGCAAAGTAAAAAAATGTGATCTTTAGGGGTACATAAAAATGCAGAAGCAGAACCTATAAATAGTTGTATGACTTCAGCTCTCACTGAAATAATAGTGAAAAATCCCAAACCATTCTGTTTCTAGTGGAACATTCTCAGCCCAGAAATACATGGTCTTGCTGTATGTGGACAGATATGCAGACAGCTGCACTGTGGAAAAGTTTCTTGCAGCTGAACTGCTTACAGCATATACCCAATTTGTGCTGACCTTCACGCAGTAATTTTGGAAATTTCAGCCCTGCAGTTAAACTGAGGAATAAAAAAAAAGGAGAGATACTTTTTTAGTAGTGTAAAGGTCCTGGAATTCCCTTAAAACAACTTAAAACAACTACCTACTTTGGTGTTAGTTGCTAGGAAATCAGACAACAAATAGAAAGCTTAGGAAACATATATTTGGTGGTTTTGCTTTCCTCTGACTAAAATCTACGTATTCATTGAAGATTGTGCAAGGAATGATTTATAGATCTTTCCATATTACTGCCTGTCTGGTTAGCAGATGCTGTTCATTAGCCAAAGAAGAAAAGCTATTCTCATAAATAATTATAGCAGAACAGAAATTTAGTAATCTGTGGAAATCTCTTTTATTTGCAAGGTTTTCAGATTTATTCATGGGTATGTTTTAGCCACATGCTAGAAAAATCCTGTCCATAAAGGTTAAAGTGAACTGGCACTGTTCCTGTAAAATCAGAGTTAGAGAAATGAAAGTATTCAGAGTTTTCCACTTGTGGTGCTCATGGTGAAACATTTCAGTAAACATAAACTGACTCTAACTGCAAGGAAGACGCAGTATAAACATTTGCCTGTACTAAACTAATACTTACTAGCATGAAGTATAATTTGGATTTAAATCTGAAAAATTTTGCTCTGTTGAGTAGTTTTAGTTATAGAATACTGTGCAATGGATAAAGTGGAATCATTTTTGTGATGAGGATTTATGCAAGAGAGTAAAAATTTGTGTGAGATACTGTTTTGGTTTTTTCTGCTTTCTGATTAGTTGATCACTTCTGTAGCTTTGATTATCATTTTATCAGTCTCCTGAATTCTGGTATTTTTTCACTATGTTCCAATCTGAAATCAGTAAGATGGATAATAAATAAAGATAGACTGCTGGGAGCCAGAGACATTAAATGCAAATTTAGGCATTTAAACAGGAGCTGAATCCTCTAAGATACAGAATGGCCACAGTTCCCATATCAGCTGCCAGTGTTCAGTGTTTAAAAAAAAAAATTAAAAAAGCCATATTCCAGCTCTCAGACATTGATTGAATGGTTCAGAAACAAGTATTTTAAGAAAATTCTGGCCCCTATTGTTATGTATTAATTTGGGAGGTGAAAGAAGAAACAGAAAGAAGAAACAGAAGAAGAAAAAGAAGAAGAAGAAACAGAAGAAACAGAAGAAACAGAAGTTTGTTTTTGAAGAAACATAAATAAATTCATCCTTAGCTCTCATAGAGAACATGACTATGTCTTTAATAGTCAGACTGCAACATAAAAAGCCAGTTCTGAACATGGTAGCACCCACAACTCAAAACAACTGCTCAGGACTTCAAAAGATCACACTCTGTGCATCCTTAGACTTAATGTGACAGAAAGATATTGAAAAGGAATAGCCATTTTTGAAAACTGAACAAACGTCAATTTGTCAAAGGCAACATAAGAAATCAACAGCAGAGCTATGATTCAGGCTCAGAAAATCTGGGCCTCAGCTCCCTTGTTGACCTGCAGTGTGATATTCTTTTCAGCAATCCTAATGGATGCCTGACAACTGTTGGCAGTCAATGGCTTCAGTATCTTAATCTAACCTCTGTTTCTGTTATGCCTCTCTGAAGAACTAACAAACTATTTAACATTTTACCTGACACATATACTGAATATGTGAGACAAAAAGAATAGTGGGTGCAAATTTTGACTATGCAGAGAAGAGACAATTAAATTTTATAAGCTCTACTGACAGCCAAGCAGCCAAGTGAGTGATCTTCCAATGAAATAGAGATGTATATATAAATCAGTCAGCTCCTACATGCACATAGCTTAATAAGGTAGGTGACGGCTCTAGGAAATATGTGTCTTCTCAGATAGTGACAGTTGTCACTGGTGTAATTTTGCACTAAGAGACCTTTGCCCTCTTAGCCTCCTGAGTTTTTTTATTTTTTTTTTAAGGAAAGCAATGCAATTGGCATTCCATCTTTGCAACATCCAGACTGTTACCAAGAGTTTGTTCTTTCTCAAAGGGCCAATATATGCCCCCAAACATATTTGCCCATATTAAGCTTCCTAAAATAGAGCAGAAGTGGAATAAGCACCTTGCAGATTCAAGCTTTCCTCTAGTGAATAATCCTCTTGAGGCCTTGGCTTACTGATTTAGCCAAATCTACTCTAAATCTATCCTCATTATTAAAAGCCCCTTAGATGAAAAGTGTTATTTCAGAACCATAACCATTTTTAAATTGAATTATTTGCACTAGAACTTTCCATCCAAGTTAAAATTATATAGGACATCTTTAAGCATAAATAACAGCATTGTCCTAAGATCAGTTACTAATTCTGTCTTTGCAAAAGCCTAAAGAGTGGGTTTCCTTCAGTACAGCAGCTGGAAAGATCAGATGCAAATATTTTAAACCAAACTAGTTGAAATTTTTGTCATGTGTGGCAGGAGGGGCTATTCAAGTCAGTCATCAATGAGGTAAGCTTTTGGCTTTTTTTGATTACCTTATAACTGTGAAAAAGGTTCTGGGAAGAGTGTCTGAAACAAACTGTATCAGGCACATGGTGTCAAATGTAAGTGCTGCTCTCTTTACCATCAAAGCATGTGAATGTCCTTGATATGTATCTCATGGATGTTTCACAGCAGCCAGTTAAGGGGCACAGGGACGGGCTGAGAAATAGTTCATAGCAGCTTGAACTCTAGAGCACACATTTGTCATTTGAGCAGAAATAAAAGCTTTTTTCTTAGCAATGTAGCCTTGTTATTTTCATGTCAGGTGAGATGTTACCAGACCAGGGTGTAGATTCTCTGAGGGATTTGCCCTCAGGGAAGAAGGGACCTGAATGCTTCACTCTGAAATATCCAACCAAAGGCTGCAACTCCTGATAAGTTTCCCCTGTACCAGGAGACTTTTTCTAGTGATTTTTTTTTTTTTGTGCACTTGAAATCTTTTCAGAAGGGAGAGGCAAATATAGCACCCTGACCACAGGGATATATTTAATTTTATCTAGTCTAGGGCAACAGTATATGCCCAGACAACATAGCCCCCAAGAGTAAGAGGAATAGCCATATTTGTGCATCATACCAATTGAGGAAAAAAAAGGAAGTGCTTGCAATGAACAAAAAGCTGACAACTGTGGTTAGTCCTGGAGGAACTTGCACTCACATTGCAAGCTGTCAGAAGTCACGGCCGTGACGTTCAGAGCCAGCAATGACATTCCCTAAGAGCCAGCTCTATCTGACCCTACAGATCCTGGTCAGCTCCTTAGACACAGTCTCACATTAGCAGTCTGTGCCCTGTGCAGCATTAGGCTGCAGTGTAGTGTCCAGGAATTAGCAGAAGGGCAGTGCTGTCTGATGGAGAGGTGAATGTGTCAGTGAAGAAAAGGAGTGCAAAGGGGTGGGAAAGGAGGGAAAGCACAAGAGTGTTTACCATGCAGGCAGATTTTGGAAAGCTTTGAGAGCTTTAGAAAAGCAAGTTAACCCAGCACCATGGCTACTGTATGGAGCTGATGTCATCTGGCTGTGCATAAAAGCCTCCACTTTGTCTTCTTTTGTGCAGTCCCAGAATGACATCACCCCAAAGCACAAGAACATAGCTTTGTGCTGCAGCCCTTCCCCTGCTGGCTCCTTGCTCACATCCCACTCCTCCTGCATGTGTCCCTCCTTTAGCCAGAAATGCTCCTTCATTCACCCCCACTGAATGCAAGGCACCACTGTCTGGCCAATGAGAGCCCTTTGGGAGCCCACAAGCGCCAGCAGTCTGTGGTAGGTGCAAGGAGCTCCTATTCAAACAGCTTATAGAATGCCACACACCTCAGCAACCCACAGTGGGCCTCTGCAGCCCACTTCAGCTGCTTCACAATGCTGTCAAACCTGAATGCTGTGAACTGATTAGACAGACAGGGCAACTGGGGCAATTTAATTATTTTCAAGGTTGGATCTCCTTAGATGGGATGTACAATGGCACATGATTTAATCTTGTTACAGTCCCCTATTGCTGTTAAATAAGCAGAGTGAAAAAAAATTGCATTTGTAGCATCACTGAGGAAGAAACAGTAAGCACAGTTTGCAGTTGTACAGTTATACAGACTTGTTTATAACTGGCATAGTTTTTTGCCTATTTAATAAGGCCTGTGACAATCTTCATGACATGTAAAAACAAGAGAACAAACACTCAAAGCACATCCTGGCCAATGTTATTTCATGCAGAAAAGTGGGGTGGGGGGCAGCTGGAAGTGGACATTACCCAAGAAAACAAGTGCTGCTAAATAAAATTAGACAGAAGCCTGCAAAGAACACACTAATCTATAGAAATGGGGAAAACTGAGGGCTGAATGATCCCATTAGAAAGCCCAAGTCACTCATGGTTACCCTGTAACAGCATCTATCTTCTGTTCAGTACAGACATTCTAGACATGCTGCTCATCTCTGTTCCTACTCTTGGAAATGAAGGCATATTTCACTAGCAGCTCTCAGTGTCCAAGCAGACAAACTTCGAAGGTGTACATGTGCAGAAACATTGACTGGGAAAATATTTAAAGAATTATGAGGAAATCCAATGTTTTTAGAACTGTAATGGGTTATTTCTACTTAGATGGCATAGAGTGGTATAAGCTGAGACTCCACCAAACATACAGGGAAGGAAACCTACCCTCCTAGAGGAAACATGGCTAACTTACCATTAACATGCCACAGCATCTGGAAGCCACTTCTGGCATTCAGTCCATCAGAATAAAACTCCACATGAAGGCTGGTCCCTGTAGTGCTCCCTGCCAGTGGAAGAGACTGTCCACAGAAAGTGCCTATCAGGTTGGATTGTACATTAGGCCCATCATAGAGCTGAAATGACACAAAAAATATGCCAGTGAGCAAAAAGCAGCTCCCCAATTCTTAATGTTTTGTACAGGATTTCAAGGAAAAAGCAGTGACACTTCTCACACTGGCCACCTTTGCACAGCGATATGAGCCTGGAGAGTGTGGAAAGATTTGGATTAACTAATAAGCAAATATAAGTCTGATATGTCTTTAAACCTGGCTGCATGCTGTGTACAGTAGGAAGGTTTTGCTGTTTCTATTATGGTGTGTATTGGGGGTTGCTGGGGAAGAAGATAAAGGGCAAGTGGCAATGAACTGAAATAGAAAGAAAAAGAGGATGTCACAGGTCTGATTTGCCCATGCATCTAACTTGCTCAGTGCCTCCAAACCCCTTGGTGACAACTCTGTTTACATCTTCATCTCTCTAAGACTGTGCCCAGGTGATATCAGAACTTCCTGGTCTTTTGATGGAGAAAACCAAGCAGTCAGGATCACGAGGGCCTCCCAGAGTAGTGAGGACAAACTGAAAACCAAAAGTAAAGTAAATCTTTAAAAGCACAGGGAAACTTCATATGTGTTTATTTATGGTTTCATAATCTTGTGCTAGTGTCCTGCTTTGGAGGAAAACTGGACTGAGCCATGCTTCTGAAATTTGATCTCCTTGTCATATTTTGATAATCAGTGTGTTGGCAAATGTGGCCAGCCTGACAATCTTTCTGTTCCCCAAAAACAAGAAATGAGAAATCCTCCATCCCACTCCTAAAACATCACCACTCTTATTAAAAAAAAACCAAACAAGCAAACAAACAAAACAAAAAATGCTAGCAAAATATTCCTGTAGTTAAATATTGACATCTGAAGTTAGTCATATACTCACATTTAAATGAAAACATTTAATACATGTTTTGATGGGGTGACAGTAGGTGCTTAGAGCTTCTAAGCCTCTTTACATTTGTTATCTCCAAACAGATTTAAATTGTCTTTCAAATTCTAGTTTTGTAACTTTTTTCAAATCCAGTAAATCACACTGAGCGTGCATCCATGTTCCTCACCAAATACCACGATGCCCCAGTGTCACTTTTCAGGCATGAAGACTGTAAATTTTTGAAAAGCTGGTAAAAATGAGACATTTTAGCTAAATTGCCTTTTACTTACAATATCAGATTGCTGGTTGTTGTCAAGTTAGGAGTTGCTTTATTATTTCTACCTTGGTTACTATGATTTTTAAAGTTTAGAAAAACATCAACCCTTGTGCTTTATTATCACTTTGCAACAGTTCATCCGATCTTCTGTCTCACAGTGCATATCTTCCTAACACAACCCAGCAAACTACTGGCACAGAAACCATGTCTGAACATTCTCACTGTGAATTTTTGGCATGCTTCCTTTCAGAATTTCAACAAAATCTTTTCTTTGTTCTGAAGCCATCACTGTAAAGTTCTTTCCATGCAAAGAATCAAATCTGTGATCTCTAGAAAAACAGCCAGGGTTTATTTATCTTTGCTCTCCATTCAAATCTCTTTTCCAAATATATTTGATTCCACTAAGAATTCTCCTACACTCAGCACCCATAGTATGGAAGCATGATATTACAGCAAATATTGATTAAGCATGCTAGCTACTAATTTCCACATACATTTTCTGGCAGACTCACATATGGGAATGAGTAATTAAACCCTCAGCTTTTCTGTTCAAGATGTTGGCCTTGCAGAATCTTCAGAAATCTTGTTGTTCATTTAAAACATACTTGGGGCCAAGAAATCTACTCAAATGCTTTCAAATCCTCAAGCACACAGTCTAATTGAAATGTCTTTTTTAACAAAAAAAAAAAAAAAAGAATTGGAGGTAGTTCTGCCAGAAGTTAGGGGCAAATTGCAGGAATAATTCTATGGTAATATTCTATGGCCTATTTTATAACTGGTACCCATTAATATAATATAATGAAAGGCTCAAAGCGTGCTAAGTGTATTGTAACTTGGGAACTATCACTCTTTGTTATGATTTCTCTTAGTGAAATCAGAAAAGATTGTAGGTTTCTAATTGCAGACACATTGCTAGTAGCTCTTGCAAAGCCTTGATCAGATGTGTTTGATAATAAATATTAAATTTCATAAAGATTAGATGTTTATATGTTGAATATCCACTTGTATTCTTTCCAAACATAAAGTTTGAAGGACCACTTGATAAACGGGTGAGCTGTCCCATGCCCAGCATTACAGTTATGACCTTCTTCCAAGCCAGGCTGAAAGCTTTACACATTCTTTTAAGGCTTAAGTTCAACAAAATGAAATCAAGTCAGATCCAATTAGATTTTTTAATAGTACTACTTCCTTTGACAGCTTCGTGGTATATAGTACTCGTATTTCTGTGGCCTCAAGCCATGGAAATCTTACACCAGAAAAATACGAATGGTGAAAAATAAATAACTGTGGAGATCATGAATCCATGCTCTGAATAGAAGCAAAAACTATGTTAAGATACATATTCACAATCAGCCATTAACTCTAGAGATTACAAATGAGAAACCATTCTAATGAACTTGGACTAAATCATACCCAGAAACTTCCGAATTCAAACCAAAAAAACAAGCTTCTTAAGTCTCCTGCAATTTGATTCATCAAGGGAGTATTATTTTTACCTAAGACAGCTAATGCTGCATTTCTATGTAATTTCCTCTGAAAACAGTCTGTCAGTTTTTCAAGACACAAAGAATGGTTACTATGGCAATCCCTTCATGCCGTGCTGCCCTGTGGGGTTGGGTTCAGAGCAGCATTTTGCAGGGAATATGAGTGCCTGGCCAGCTGTAACTCATTGAGAGAGGCAGAACCACGACTGCTAGAATTACAGAGGGGTTTTTTTGAGCTGTCGTTCATTTCTAAATGAAGGGAACAGCTGTGTATTTTCTCAGGGCATTTTGAACTTCGCAAACTACCTTTTGCACTCACACAAACACAGGCAAGTGAAACTGAAGCTGAACACAGCTCTCATGAGCTACAATTTCTCTCCTGATCTCTGAGATAGTGTTTCTTGGTAAGGTCCTGCTTTGTCAGCTGTGTTATCTTAAACTGCTGCAAACTGAGGCAAGATTCTTCTCCAGGCTATATGTTGCAAGGTACTCCTTAGGATTGTGTGAGGCAATTGGATTTTGAGGCACTCCTGTACCATACTGATCTAGGAACTGGTGATTTGCCTCCCTTCCAGCTCCCCATTGGGAAGAAAGTGCTTGCTCCCCTTCTGTGTATATATTTGCTTTGTAATATATTTATTTGTTTAGACTCTTAGCCTCCACCAGAAAATTCAACTTCTTCATAATAATTTTGGCAGACACTCAAGCAGTCAAAATATGCCAACAGCTGCAGCACATGTTCTTACCCTTGGCCTCCCTGCTTTAGTCAAAGAATTGTGGAGCAGCACCCAGAATGCTCCATTTTATCAGCCTGCACCATGGCACTGGGACCAGGCAGGGATGCAGTACATTCAGATGAATTATTAGGCATGGGCTCAATAGCTGTTAAGAGAAGCTCCTTATCAGGCTGCCTAGGAGCAAGCCTATAGGCTGACACAAAAGTAGAAAGGGGAGGTACCAGCTTTCTAGGGGAAGAATCAAGCTGTGTGGCTGCCCTGCAGCGAAGTGGCAGCTGAAAACCATCTGCTGTACATTAGAGTGGGGCTGGGAAAGCAGGACTAGCCAAGGCTGCAGGAAGGGTTCAGCTTGGGTAGCTCTCCCAGGGGAGACACCATGGTCACCAGTATGACATTTTGGCTTTCTGACTCTTCAGCCTGGAAATATGTTGCTGACACGAAGAATGATGCTCTGGAGGCCACAGCTGTTCACCCCTCTTTGGAGGAGCAAAGCAAAGCGGCATGACCTGTGTCACAGAAAAGCTCACTGACAGAACTGGAGGAAGGGCTCAAGAACTGAGCTGACTGGAAAATGGAGGTTCTCCTGCATGGAAGAAATAAAGATCTCAAACAAATGGGAAAAATAAACTTTAAATGTGTTCTATTTGGGCATACTTGAAGCAGGGACATTTTTCTACCTGAGCACCTCGTCAAGCTTATTCCTTCTTGCAAAGTAAGCCTTCCAGAAAGGTAGTGAGACTCCACCTGCTCAGTTTACCTGGCAGAAAACTGGAGGGGGTTTAGGGCAAAATGTCATTTTTCTGTTGGAAAACTTTATTTCTATTAAAAAGCATGGGGTTTTTTTTCATCAGGAAAACCATTACAAAGAAAAAACCCATGGCTAATCTGCTCTGGAAAAAAACTGCTTACATATAGTAGTTAGTCATAACACATAGTCTTGATCCAGAGATGATGGAGTCTTCGAAGTCAAACTTTCAGTTTCATATGAGGTGAAAATCCAATTTTTTGTATTGTAAATAATACTGTTATCAGATGTCAAGAATTCATTATAATTATGAAAAATTATATCAATAATTGTCTCAGTTTGAGTCTTGAAACAAACTATTTGCAGTCAGAAAGCTTTTTTACAGGGACCAACAGCAACAGTCCTGGGCTGTATTTGCATAACTCATGAAAGGAAGCTGTGCCTTGGATCAGACCAGCAGAGCTGCAAGTGTCCCACCCATGGCCAGAGCTTCTAGGACAGTCTCAAAGAGCTTTTCTGACACACACGAGTATCCCTTTCCTCTTAGAAGTGGGAAACCTGATCTAGGATTGTTTGGATCTAAATACCAGAGACGGTGATTACAAGTTTCTGAGTAACTCTTCCTGAAAGGAAATGAAAGAAAAGGAAATTTTGGAAAGGAAGTTTTGATGGCATTACAACAAACATGTTACCAGAAAACAAAATGAAGCAAAAACTAGACAACATAATCATTATCCAAGTAACGAATGCACTCCAAAGAGAGATCACCATTAATTGTTAAAACAAGAATAACAAAATCAAAACCAATTAATTTCCAAGCAACACATTTCCTTTCCAGATGAGCTAGAGAGTGAATTTAAGAACCTGCAGGTCTGCCAGCCAGATGAAAAAAACAAACTAAAGCTCCAGAATGTGG